GTTTTTCCCTAGCCCATATCTAAACCCTTAGCCCTAAACCCACCTAAATATAACCCAAATGGAGCCGGCCCACTAACCCTAACCTAAGACCCGGTCCGTTTTTCCAAACTTCAACATTTTAGTAGAGTTTATTAAATGTAATCTCTTTATGTATAGGTGCGTTGGTTGAAGCCTTGAAGGTGATCCAGCCTATCTTAGTACGAGCGGCCCTCCGGTATTATAATTTAGTGAGTGGACTCTTCTTAACTTACATATTTTTATAAAATATTAGCCTAGCAAGCATTTCATATTTCTTGCATTTAATGCATTTTATATTATGTTTTCCGGATTCCTATAATTATGGTTTATATAGAATTCATGATTTAATTAACTTGCTTTACGAAATATTATGATTTATTGAAATTATGTTTTTACGAGCAGATATGAATTATTGGAATTGCATATATGAAACTCCTTGAATTTACAAATATGTTTTATATACGATTTATGAAATGAGATTTTGAACCCTTGAGTTTCAATGATTTGGCTTGAGATTTCGAGGAATGATTTTAATACTTACCTAGTGGGTTATCATACGGCACATCCACACACCACGGGTATTGTCTATGGCCATAGGACACAAATGATGGAGAAGTGAGATATGATATATTATATATACCCCCAGCTTCACCTTTGAAAGCGGTGTCGGACAGCTTCACTAGTCACAATTAGTGTCGGTGTGGATGAATGCTGTTTTATATAGCTTCACCTACGGGTGATGGATAGGTTATTCAGCTTCACCTACAGGTGATGGACATGTTATTTAGCTTTACCTTTGGGTGATGGACAGGTTATACAACTTCACTTTCAGGTGATGGACAGGTACTGCATTTGAGCGACTATGATACCCCTAGTTGAGTACAGCACGGATATGATTTACGATGTTTCACAAATGTTTTACATTGCATGCTAGGGTTTTTCATAAAACCTACTATGTAATATTATATATATGTTTTCAAAATAGGGGGTTATTTTGTTCTAAAATAAATTGGTTTTCGTACTATTAGTATTATTATAAATTATGGTCCACTTACCTTTTCTGTTTTTGCGCTCCCTCAGGACATAGTGAAGAAGAGTACGACCCGAGCTTCGAGGCTTTTCCATACCAGTGACTCTATTTGCTTTCATCTATGTATGGCTCTTCTTGACTCTTGTAATTTGACGCTCGCCCTTCTTTTGTACTCTACTTAATGGTATGCTCTGGATGTATTGTATCTTTACTTTGAACTTGTATTCGTTGATTTTCCTATTTCATTTATGGGAGTTTTGCATCATCACTGTCTCATTTAGCATTCATATTTTCATATTATTTCCGTTTGTTATTCGAGTTTGAATTTGCAGGTTCTTACATATTCCTATTTGTTCCTTGCCATTCGGGTTTATTCCTACACTTAGGACTTTCATCACTCCTGAGTGTCGGCCCACACGTGTCATCCAGGTGTCATTAGGATATATGGGTTGGGGCGTGTCAGTTAAAGTGTTATAAAATCGTGAAATTATATTGTTCTTTTGCTGCAATTTACTTTCTTAGCTTGCCGCTTGCACCTCACTGTTAAGTATGAAGGTTTCAAGTTTTTTTTCTGACCTGAAAGATCATTTGGTATGGTAGGGAAACTATCTGAACCATGGGTGTAAGTTCTGTAATATTAAACCCCAAACAAAAGGCAGAAGTTGGATGGAGAAGAAGAGATAGAAGGAAACACCAAGAGTTTAAGCAATTTACCCGATGTGATTATTCAAAATATTCTCTCCCGTCTTCCAACAAAAGATGCTATCCGGACAAGCATATTGTCTATGTTGTGCCTTGGCCCGTTCGTTAGTGCAGAAACGAGATTCAGATTACAACCTCACCAATCACACTCAGTTGAACATAATAAAATACAAGAAATAAAGATATCGAGAAATTTATGAGGTTCGGCAAAAACATGCCTACGTCCCCGGAGAGATATTGCTCTTCACTATGAATAACAGTACAAGTACACATGAGTTAAATCAACATAACTCAATCCCAAATCCCTTGCACACCCACTCATAGAATTTTCCTAAGAGCCTCACTCTACCCCAAGAGTTCTTTCACTAGAATACTTTTCACTCTAGCTCTCTTGATTTTCTCTCAACCCATGTTCAACCTTTCCCATGGGAAATCCGGATGCTCTCCCCTTGGATGCTTCTATGATGCTTACCTTCCCACTTTCTAAACATTACTAAATGCACAAATATTGCATTTAGTTATAGGCATACACTAGCAACTATGCCAACAACCAAGACAAAAAAGTCTTAAGTTCACATGACATAATCATCACCTAGCTTACCTAGCATGCACCAAAGTCTATACCTAGTCTATAAAGTATAACTTTGCTTGTGGTAGTCACCATGTCTTCAATTGTTGTCAACACATGACTCATAATTACTCACAAATGTACGAGCCAAACACAATAGTCTAAACGATGAATACATATGGACATGAATTCCTAAGCTTCATTTTTATCAAGGGTTCGCTGGTGCAAGATCTCCTCTGGTCAATATTGTGGAAAGAGCACTTCGACTTCGTGGCCCTGCTGATATAGAAGTGTTCGATCTTTCACTTCCAGTGAAAGGTGATGCATGTCGTGTTAATGCATGGATCCCAGCCGTAAGAAAGCGCAACGGTGAAAAGTTTTATATGTACCTACGTTACCTCGAGGGACCATTTTCATTGCCTCTTCCTTCTTTACTTCTGCAACAATGACGGCCATTGAACTAGATATTCCTTTACTTTCCAAGACTCCTTCCACTGTTTATTTATCAAGTCTAAAGATAGGTCCGTGGTGTTCTCTGATGATTCAATGCAGCATCCGTTTTCTGGTTGTCCGGTTCTTGAGGAATTATCTCTAGAAAATTGCAGTTGGTCGAATGTCAAGTTTGTGAGTAAACAAGCTCCCAAGCTTTTGAAATTGACTATAGATGAAGACCGCTACTTTCCAGAGATTCAGATGGTTGTCAGATTATGATATTTGGTGTTAGTATCACATATTTCAGTTACAGGGGCAACCTCCTGAATGAGCATTTCTTTTATAACTCAGCCTTACCTAATGAAGCTCTGATTCATCTCTCTTATTCTGGTAAGAAACGGAGACATATTGCTTACCGGTTCTACAAGCTCCTTAAGGGGCTCTCTAATGTGGAGGATTTAATCATCTCTAATGATGCCTTTGAGGTATATTGTCTTCTCCTTTGATTACACTTGTTAATGTCTAAAATCGCCTCATTCTTAGGTGGTTCTAAATAGTGCACCAGAACTTCGTTCTCAGATGCCCTTTTTCAATGATTCGACCACTTTGGTATTGGAAGAACCGATAGATATTGGTCAAAAAGCACTATTGACGATGCTCCAATACTGTCCTTGTCTTGAAACTCTGGTATTTCTTGAGGTAACTTCCTGAGCACGGCACTGTATTGTTTTCTCGTGTTTTGTTTTCCTGAAATGTTGTTAAAATGGCTAAGGTTTGATGATTTAGGGGATCTGCCAGTCCTCGGATCGTGTTGAAGATGATGAGGTGATGGAGCCACTGCCTCCATGTTTCGTGTCTCATCTTAAAACGATTGAAGTGGGTGAATTTGCTGGACAACAGGATGAGTTTGGCGCATTGAAGATTTTGGTGAAGAATGCAATGGTCTTGGAGAAAGGTGGATCTAGTTTGCTCCACGAACTTCGAAGGGGGACCAGAGAAGAAGAAGGAGATCACCAAACAGTTAACTGATCTTCCCAGAGGACCAGAAAGCTGCGAAATTGAGATTGTCCTTCATTAAGTTTTTAATTTACGCTCTAGACGTAAACAAGGTCGTCTCTGAGATTTCGGGATCCTTGATGAATTTATAAAAGAGCCTTTCCTTAAGATAGTTTAAAAAAAAAGTAAAACAATGTATTGATGTTAGAAAACAATCACTTAAATCAAAACAAACTTTAGCACTCACTGATTGCAAGTTTACAAAATGTCATTAATTATACTTAAAAAAGCTACAAACATAGCATACACTAAATTATCAAAAGTAGTTCAGTCTTAAACAACCAAACATTAAAAAAAAACTTCAAAACCCTAACTTTAAAATTTCACTTGAATATATGACATTATTAAATAAAAAATTTGAAAAACCATCGTTTTTTAGGGTGTTATTATTGATAATCAGATATCTCAGTGTACTCTAAATTTTTATATTGAGTAATGCTAGGGAGACTAAATTTGTAGACAAAAATTTGTAAATTAGACATATGAGTTGATATGCGTGCTCATTTCCTATTGGTGACATATAATTTAGTTTACAAATTTAGTCTTTCTAGTAGTACCCTTTTATATTTAAAAAGAAAAAAAATCTTATAAGGAATGCAATGAGATTTTAAAATGCTAACAAGAGTCATTTTCTAAATATAGAACATTATTACATAATATTAGATGACAAAATTTTGAGGGTCACTTCAAATTTGAGACCCTGTATGACTACATATTTTCACTCCCCTTCAACGCCCCTCTGGACGTAAGCTTCGTGCTTTGACATGGCTTCCGTTTGAACCTACTGACTTGCAGTGATGTTCTTTGTTATTTGGTTGCTTCCTTTTGAATCTGCCGACTTGCAATGATATCTTCCGTGTTATTTGCTCTAAATTATTTTTTACGTGACATAGGAATTGTTTTTAACTTTCGTACATATCAATGTTTGATTGACTTTGGACATTATTGCAATAGTGAAAAATAAAAGTAAATATTTTTAACCGCTAAAGCTACAAGCCTCTTGCTAGTGTAGAACATAAAACCCCATAATTTAAAAAATGCAACAATTGAATTTGAAACCAGATGGACCAAAGTGAAACGTTGTCCGAAATAAGGAACAAAATCACAGTTTGGCCTTGGTTGATCGAGTACACCGACATGTCGTTTTCTAGGTTTATAAGTACCCTCCAAAAACAGAACTCTCACTCGGGGAAACTTTGGATGGGGGGACTGAGAACTGCAAACCCTTAAGCAGACCAAGAGACGAGGAGACGAGAAGACGAAGAGTTGTGCGACAGCGTTTTCTGGGTCAGTTTCCTTCTTCCTTACCATTTCATGCATTTCTGATTTCTGCTGATGAATGTTGCTCGCTTTCTTATTCCAAAAGAACAATTCTTAGCTACTAAAAAATGGGTAGAGACTTGTACTCAAAAAATTTCAAAATTATTTGTCGTCAATTTATAGAACTTCGTGTTTTATAATCAGAATTATTCATATTAAAAATCATCATATAAAGATCGTCTCTGCAAAAAATCAATTAAAACTAGGGAGTTTTAACGAAAAGCCCACGGTACTGTTCACTTTAACGAAAAACCACATTTTTACACTAAAAAGTCAAACCTGGTACTATTCACTTTACCCTTTATTTTGTCCTTATCATTAAAACTCAAAGTTTTCAAGCATTTTTCATTAGTTTTCCTTTAAAACTAAAGTCCTCTAGTCATCAAACTGTTTAAAAACAAATGAACGGTATTAGTAAAAACATTACGCTACGTCTATATATTATAATAGATTGACTAAACAACCTTAATTTTAATTTATTTTTTTTGTAGAGATGAACTTTACAATATGGTTAATATGATTTATAGTATAAATAGTTCTGATTTGAGTAGAAGTTCCTTCGTATTTTTTAGTAGCCTTCGTTCCAAACTTGGGATTTTCTGTTTTTGCCAATTTTTCTTCGCTGTTGAAGAAAGTTTGTACTTTTTTTTTTGTGTGCGAATATTTTGAGGGTTTCTGGAATTGGTTTTTCGATGTGGGTTCGCTTGTTCTGCATCAAAAGCCGGTCGAAATGGAAATTTAAATCGGGTTTTATTTGTGTATTTGTCCTAGGGAAAGATCAATCGATTCATGTTTGGAAATTTGCAGAATGTTTGCTTTCACTCTCATGTGATGCGTGTTACATTTCATAGTAATGGCCTTTTCTTTAGTTTGATTATATACGGGCTAGAAAAACTTGAAACTTTTGTATTTGCTGTTTGTGTGATCACCACGAAATGCTAATAGTCAGTGCAAGCGATTATGTTCTTGCCATCGATATATGAACAATTTTGATATGGTTCTTGTATTTCTTGGAGTTATATTGCTCTAGTTAATCTTTCGGTTTTGATTAATAAGTTTTCGATGGCTGTATTTTCTGTAAATCACTTTTAAAGCGTAATAAAATTCCGAATATATATAGGTCCTTTTGCTGCAATTCACTTTTTTTAGCTGAATGTTTGCACTTGCTGTTAATTATAAGGTTTCTATCATTTCCTAAACAAGTTTTCAAGTGATTTCTTACCTCGAGAGTTCGTTTGGTATAGTAAGGAAACTATCTGAACTATGGAGACAAGTTCTGTAATACTAAGCCCGAAAAGGCAGAAGCTGGATGGTGGAGAAGAGATGGAAGGAAGGAGAAAGAAATTATTTGATTTGCCTGATGAGATTCTTCTAGCAATTATCTCCCTACTTGAAACAAAAGATGCAATCAGAACAAGCATTTTGTCTAAAAGATGGGAATACTTATGGACTTCAATTCCTAAGCTTGAATTTCGTCATCAGCCGTCTACTCCAAGATCTACCATGTGGAATATTGTGGAAAGAGCGCTTCTTCTTTGCGGCCCTGCTGATATAAAAGTGTTCGAACTTAATTTTCCAGTGCTAGGGGATGCATGTCGTGTTAAGGCCTGGATCTCTGCCGCATTAAGGCGCAATGTTCAGGAACTTTATATCTATCTCCATGGCCTCCAGGGACAATTTTCATTGCCTCATTCATTGTTTACTAATACAACACTGACGGTTTGTGAATTAGATATTCCTTTCCCAATCAAGGTTCCTTCTACCGCTTGTTTCTCAAGCCTAAAGAACTTGTCTCTTAGGTCCGTGGTGTTTTCTGATGACTCAGCGCAGCATCTGTTTTCTGGTTGTCCGGTCCTTGAGGAATTATATCTAAAAAATTGCATTTGGTTGAATAACAAGTTTGTGAGTATTTGTTCCCCCAAGCTTTTGACGTTGTTTATAAATGAAAGCGATATGATACTTCCTGGAGGTTCAGAAGGTTGTCAGATTATGATATACGAAGTTAGTCTCCAAAGCTTTTGTTACAGTGGCGAGCTCCAAAACGAGTATTGCTTTTATGATTCCTCCTCATCAAAAAAAGCGGAGATCCATCTTTCTTATGATTCTAATAAGAACCTGAGACATGCTGGTTACCGGTTGTATAAGCTCCTTAGAGGGCTCACCAGCATGGAGGGGCTAACTTTCTCCTCATATAATGCCTTTCGGGTATGGTTTCTTCTCTTTTATTGATCACACCTGTTAATTTGATACATTAATACGTGTTACAAATTGCTGCTATTGCATTAGCATTTTGTGGTACAAGTCGCTTGTCTAAAATCCCTTAGTCCTGTTGATAGGTTGTTGTAGCCAATGCACCAGAACTTCTTTCCAAGATGCCCATGTTCAATAATCTGACAACCTTTGTATTGGAAGACGCGGCATTTATTGATGACAAAGCACTATTGACGATGCTTCAGTACTTTCCTCATCTTGAAACACTGATATTTGTTGAGGTAACTTCACATAATCTATAATTTTTTTCCCCTTGTATCGTGTCTGCATGTAACGTTGGTATAATGACTGTAGTTTGATGATACAGGGGTTTGGCCTGTCCCCGGAATGGGTAGAAGATGAGGGGGTGTTGGAGCCACTGCCTCCGTGTTTCTTGTCACATCTTAAGAGGATTGAAGTCGCTGAATTTAATGGAGATCAGTATAACGAGCTTAACGCAGTAAGGATTTTGCTAAAGAATGCAAAGGTCTTGAAGAAGCTGGATATATCTTGGTATTTTACGGCGGGGGCAGAGCAGAAAGCGGAGATCACCAAACAGGTATTTGATTTTCCGAGAGCATCAGGAAGCTGTGAAGTTGTGCTTCGTTGAGTTTTTAATATATGTTTTCGACTTAAGCTTCGTGCTTTGACATGCCTTCCTTTTGAACCTGTTGACTTGCAATGATCTTTTGTGTAATTTAGCAGGGATTACTGGCTTAAGCTGTTATTTGGTAGGGTAAAAATATTACCAATGGATATTTTATCTGCTTTAGTTGGTGAAAATCTCCTTTTTACATTTGATGTTCCAGATTTTAACTTTTTATATTATTTTATTGAATTATTTTATTATTTAATATCCACATAGGCTCATATTGACACGTAACGTTCAGTCACTGTTCATGTGAGTGTCACATCATCAGTTAACAGAGGTTTTGACCGAAAATTAATAGATATATGAAAGTATTCTAGAATTATAACTTTAGGTAACGGACTGGAACAAAAAAAACTTCATGTACCAAATGTTGAAAACCAAATTTTTTTAAAGTGGTAAGCTGAGATTAACCTTTAGTTTTAAATGACTTGATCAAAATGACGTCGTTTTGACCAAGTCATTTAGATAAAAACTGTTCTTCCTCTTTCTGTTTGCAATAGCAGAACCTACAACTTAATCCGCAGCCACGGGCCATGGCTGCTCCTCCTCCACCACAACCCAGACTTGATAGTCCTCACAGCCACTCATTCGAGCTTTCGGGTGGTCTCGGAGTTGGGACCACCTCAGTCCCTTAATAGATCCGTCCTAGGTGTGTGAGTTGGTGTTGTGCCTTGGTCCGTTCATCAGTGCGGAAACGAGATTCAGATTACAACCTCACTAAAATCACACTCAGTTGAACAGAATAAAATACAAGAAATAAAGACACCGAGAAATTTACGAGGTTCGGCAAAAACCTGCCTACGTCCCCGGAGAGATATTGCTCTTCACTATGAGAATAACAGTACAAGTACACATGAGTTAAATCAACATAACCCAATCCCAAATCCCTTGCACACCCACTCATAGAATTTTCCCAAGAGCCTCACTCTACCCCAAGAGTTCTTTCACTTGAATACTTTTCACTCTAGCTCTCTTGATTTTCTCTCACCCGTGCCCATGCTTTCCCATGGGAAAGCCGAATGCTCTCCCCCTTTGGATGCTCTCTGATGCCTTCTCAGGAGAGAGCCAAATCTCTCATTCTCTCCCTTCGGTTCTTAGCAAAATAAATAGCAAAAGAAAAAAGGAATCAACTTTCCCTTTTTCCACAAACATCATCATTAAAGTAAAAGCAAGCATCATCATTATGTTTTTACTCATGATGATGTCCACCAAACTTTTACTTTTACTTTGTCTGCAATTTTCATGCAACCCACACCATGTGATATTTCCACCGAAAGCAAACACAGGTCACTTCATTGTTGTTAACACATGACTCATAATTACTCACAAATGTATGAGCCAAACACAACAGTTGGGACTACCTCGGTTTTTTAATAGATCCGTTCTGGGTGAAACACACGATGGTGGCTAGAAAGAGTTGAAATGTTTATGAGAGTCTTCTCAATTCTCGATAGTCCATCGAAAAAATGAATCATCGTGTCGAAGCCACCAACAAATTTTTTTACTATTTATTTTTAATTCTGTAACATTATACAATAATGTGAATGTTAGATACCATGGACTTTGTTCACACGAGGTTGCAAACGCACCTGCCTTAAAAGTCACGTGCATGAGACGAAAGCAGTGTACCCATCCCACCAAACCTAAAAACGACCTCGGAGGCTCAGAGTCAGAGCAAAGAAAGGTCCCCTACCACTTCTTTTAGCCACGGCCAAACAACTCGTGCCTGCACAAATACATTTCCGGTCAAATAATGCAGCCTTAATGCAAACAAAACCACTGTCATTAGCAGCCAGCCAAACCTCCAACTAGGCCAACTAATTAGTACTATCATTTATAGCCGTCAATATTAACATTTTAGTCCAATTTTTTTCCATCGTCCAAAATTAAAATATTATGTATTGTTTTAAGAAACATTGGAAATCGTATTGTATTGAAAAGAACGATGTTAGAATAGATTAGGAGCAAGCACGGTTCAGTTTGGATTGGTTTGACAAACAAATCGCGGCAAACCAATTATTACGTAATGGATTTAGTTAAAAGATTTGAACAGATAATTAAAAAATTTCGATCATTTGATACTAAAACCATGTATTACTGAAGCAACATGATGAGATGCAAATTAGGGTTAGGCGGTCTGGATTTTTGTTGATTTTACATTCAGATAGCGACAAACTAATTACTCTGTAACAAATTGGTTCGGTTTTAACTAAAATCATAATTGAAATCAAACCAAACCATTGTTGTAGGGTCAATTAAATACATTTTTCATTGGATTTTTTGGATCGTTCAATATATTAGTACGCAATATTGAAAGGAACATTGGGAAATCTGCATCATGTTGTGTATTTTAAGAACAACATGGGATGCAAATGCAAATGCAAATTGCAACGCATGGACAAAGTGCCTTACAGCGAGAGGCCCCAGGTGTCTTTCTTTCTCCATCAGATATTTTGTGCTTCTGCTCAATCATTCTACTCAAAGTGTTGTCGTTTACATGTAGACTTTGGAACGTCGCTTGAGTTTGCGGTCTAGAATTTGCAGCGGCAGCTGGAGTGCTCTGTTTGGTTACATCAATCTTGGGTAGCTTGATAAGTAGGTGAATGAAAAAAATGGGCCAAGTTGTAGACGTAAGCGGAAATTTTTTGGAGAGTTGGCCACCCAAATTGACATTTCATCGAATCTTGGTTGGTTTTGAGGTTATTTTTCAAGTTATATTGCACACGTCGAGAGATGCTAATAACTTTCAAACGAGCAGGCCGACTGATGTTAATAGCGTTTGAGTGAGTATAGCGACAAATGTCAATATATGCTGAGTGAGTCTATCAACATATGTCCATGACAACGCATACAAAGACATGAGGCTAACAGCTACCTTGCCGAGTGCCCATAGAAGCAAATTCATTGAGCAGTTAGAGGACAACTTTTAAGGACATCTCAGAATTTTAAAAGACGGCACCTACAGCTCTTCCATGAATCCATGAAAGATTGCTGAGCTTGGGAGTCATCTGACCACCTTGTACGCCTCTGGCCACATTAATCAAAGTAGAAGTGCTTATGTTATAAATTTAGATTCAAAAATTTCTTCTCGTAATTTAAATTAAATTAAAGTATAATATTGTTTGTTATGATGGCGGTATTTCCAAATAATGACGAGTGAGATTTTTTTTTAGGGAATCTGAGAAGAAGGAAGGGAAAGATCGAAGTGAAAGTATGTTTCCTTAGCCGACAACCCTGAATCAATGAAGCAAGTTGTTGTTAAGCTTATTCTTTTGGTCAATAAGTTATAATTTATTTAGAGGCTCAGATCAGACTTTGCAGGAAATTTTCTGTTTCAAATTACTGGAATTTTTTTTTATTCCACTAGTATTTACAGAAAATTTAGAAGAAACTCTATAATATTATTGAAAATGACACATCCGAATCTCGATAACCATCAAACTAGGAGCAGATATGTGCCGGCCATCTCACCAAAATGTTACAGAAAATCTTGTAGTATTTCAAAATTCAAGTTTGATACACTAACTATGTTTAGATGAAGAAATTTAAGATTACTAAGGAATTTTAAAATAACGGGATTTTATTTTCTAGAATTTGTGAATTTTCTTGTTTGATTAACCTAAAATAACAATGGAATTGAATTCGGAATTTGTTATTTTTAAACTCTCAATTATAGAAATTGGGAAATTACACTTATTTACATGGAATTTAAACTTGGGAATTAGAGGTTCCAAATTTCAATTTTTTTTTTCACGCAAAAATTCTAAATTTCTATGTTTATGAATCCAAATAAGGGAATTGATGCATATCAATTTATAAATTCTAAGTTTTATCCAAATTTCAAGTTTATTTCTTTCATCCAAACATAGTGTAGGTGTCATAGCACAATTGGTTAAAAACTTTTTCTTTTTAATTTCTAACTAATTATCTTATTACATTTGATATACCGAGCCTAGTACACTAAAAAAATCTTTGATCATAGGGCTCGACAACTGCTCAAGTGAGCCTCTAATTCTTAGAAAAAGAAGGCTAAAAATCTTTCTAATATGTTAATTAAAATGTTTACTTGTAGTGGTTTGTCACCATCAAACACTATGTCAAAATTTCCACTCACCTCCCTCCCTCCCTCCCTCCCTCAACTCGTATATAAACCCTCCTGCCCTGCCTCTCACATGCATCCCAAGAAAGACCGTTTCAAAAGTTTTCCTTTCAGTAATCACCAACTTATTACAAATCAATCCCAAGAAACTCTTTTTTATTAAATTACGCCCCAAACCCCACCATGCAGATCTCTTCAGTGAAGCTCAGAACTCCGGCTTTCACGTCGCCGGAGTTCTTGAGCCGGAGGTGCCTCATAAAGTCTCACTCTTTATCACTACCCAACTTCCACAATGCCCAAAAAACCGCTCCTTCTTCCTCTTCCTCTTCCCTCAAACCCCTTCACATATCTTCCGGGGATTGTTTCGCATTGGCGGGCAAAACCGAGAAGGGAAGCGCCGTCTGCAATGCCTACGAGGCGGACCAGTCACGGCCGCTGGAGATCAACATTGAGTTGCCGGACCAGCAGGAGGCGACCCAGAGGCTGAAAATTGGTTTATATTTTGCTACCTGGTGGGCACTTAATGTTGTGTTCAATATCTACAATAAGAAGGTTTTGAATGTGTTTCCATATCCATGGCTCACCTCCACGCTCTCCCTCGCAACCGGATCGCTCATGATGCTCGTTTCATGGGCCACCAGGATAGCCGAGACCCCAAAAACTGATCTAGATTTTTGGAAGACTCTGCTTCCGGTAAGTAAAAGTGCAATGATGTACGCACACCCATTGTCTCCCCTGCACATTGTGTTTATTCTTTTATTGGTCTTTGGATTGAATAAATTAGCGGAGAATAAGGGACAGAAATAAGCCGTAATGTGCATAGGTGCGCGGAAATTATTTTCCCAAGTCGAATTATGCTGCTCTGTTTTCTTAATTTGTCTTGTTTTTGTTTTGGTTATGTGTGCAGGTTGCGGTGGCACATACAATTGGGCATGTTGCGGCGACTGTGAGCATGGCGAAGGTGGCGGTTTCGTTCACTCACATCATCAAGAGTAGCGAGCCTGCATTCAGTGTATTGGTTTCGAGGTTCTTGTTAGGCGAAACGTTTCCTCTCCCAGTTTACCTCTCGCTCTTTCCGATCATTGGAGGATGCGCGCTCGCTGCTGTTACCGAGCTCAATTTCAACATGATTGGTGAGAAAACTTGTTCAACATTCGCCGCATTTTGATATTACAACGAAAAATCTTGAAGGGAATTGATAAATTGGGGTTTTAGTGCTTTTGGTATGTGCTAAATTGTTATGAGGACTAAAAGTATGCTGAAATGTGCATCAGGGTTCATGGGGGCTATGATATCGAACCTGGCATTCGTGTTCAGGAATATATTTTCGAAGAAAGGGATGAAGGGCAAGTCCGTTAGTGGGATGAACTACTATGCTTGTCTGTCTATGTTGTCTCTACTGATTCTGATTCCATTTGCCATCGCCGTGGAGGGACCCAAGATGTGGGCTGCTGGATGGAACACAGCTCTTGCGCAGATCGGTCCCAACTTCGTATGGTAAATATACAATGACTTCTAACTGTCTGTAAACTTGTCGTCTTTGGTGATGGACATAGAGGAGTCCTTGAATCATTTGTGTTTTTTCTAAACAATTCTAACGAACTTGACTAAACTCAGCTCCGCATTGAATCATTTGTTAATCTAATATTTTAATCTAGATGGTGATTTAAGATGTTGACTACTGCACAATTTGTTTTCTGAATTGCATTTAGTTTTAGTTATCTGCTAATTTGGATTACAAAAGTTTTGAAGAGATTAAGTAACTGAGATTTTGCTTGATTAAACTGTTAATTACCTTTCACCTTAATTGTTTTACTTATGCAATATGTACATCTATATGTTAACAGGTGGGTGGTGGCACAGAGTGTCTTCTATCACTTGTATAATCAGGTTTCATACATGTCACTAGATCAGATATCTCCCTTAACATTCAGCGTTGGGAACACAATGAAGCGGATATCCGTCATAGTCGCGTCCATCATCATCTTCCACACACCTATCCAACCCATCAACGCACTCGGAGCAGCCATTGCAATCCTTGGAACCTTCCTCTACTCACAAGTAAGCTCCCCACACCTTCTTGTATGAGAAAGTTTGTTAGGAGATTTTAGGTAGAGTAGTAATTTGTTTCACATTGGATTACAAATTTACAAATGGTTCAATCTGATTAAATATTAAGAGTCGCAGTTTCATACATTCCGCTGAGAGATTTGTACTTAAAAGTCCTCAAGCACATGCGTTGAGTGGTTAAGTTAGAGACGGTCTGCAAGGAGAAAATATAGTCATCTGAGCCCCTAAATATGCCATTTTATGGAACCAAGTTGCATAGGGTAGGAATCAGGTTGCATAGGGTATAAACCAAGTTGCATCCCTCCATAAGATGGGCAGTTTGGAATGTTGAAATATATCATGGTACCAAATCGCCTATAGATGAAGTGTGGACAAATTTTGTGTTTTGTCCTTGCCAATTTTTCATATGGTGACAGAAAAACTAAATTAGGCGGCCTTATAATTCTTCAAGGGCCACTAAAGAATAAGGGGGCAAACAAAATGACAATGTTTCTGGTCTTTCAGTTCTCATGTTTTACCTAGCCATACCAAGCTGCGAGAGAGAGAAACTTGCAGCGGAGTGTATTCTACTTTCTGTGTCTCTCTCTCCTTACATGACATTTAAGAGAGAGAGACGGCACATAAGTGTATACACTCCAGGTTACACATACATACAAGTGAGCACAGGCATTTTCATTTGATATGCCATTTAAATCACAGCCTATCAAAATGGCCATCTCCAAAGAGTTGCTTGTCTACCCTTTTGAAGGTTGGAACTTTCGATGTAGTTATGGCTCGATTTGGCTGACGATTTCGCCATTAACTTTGTTTGCAGGGCAAGCAGTGAGGAATGTTTGAAGATGCCAAAGTTAGGTTGTATGATAGATGATGAAGAGAGACAAAGAGACTGCTCTTCCTATGGATATGAAAGTGTGTAAGAATCAATCACAGGGTGTTCGAGTATGGTCAGCCGAACTTCATGGTCATGGATTCGTGGAGTTGGTTTACGGAATCACGTACGCTCTGTTACGCGCCCGATATGGTTTAATTAGATTGCGTTCATCGGTTGAGAAATTGTTTTGTAAATTTTTGTAGTCAATAAGAAGAATGTTTGTTTTGAGGCAGAATAATAGTTGGAAATCAAATTTCAATTCTCAAGTAGAACCAATTTTCTCAAGGCATGTGACATAATTGTTATGGGTCTTTCTTTTTTGAGTAAATTGTAGCTATTGTCCCTTAACTTTAAAGGAAAATTAATGAAAAAGGCTTGAAAACTTTGAGTTTTAATGATAAGGACAAAATAAAGGGTAAAGTGAATAGTACCAGGATTGACTTTTTAGTGTAAAAATGTGGTTTTTCGTTAAAATGAACAGTACCGGGTGCTTTTCGTTAAAGTTCCCTAACTTTAACTCAATTGGACTAATAATTCCTCAACTAAAAATCAATTACCATTGGTCTCTCAACTCATCAAAATGTGCAGCTATGGTCCCTCAACTAAAAATCTATTATCATTGGTCCCTCAACCTTAATCCAACTGGAGAAATAGTCTCTCAACTTTAACCCAATTGGAGCAATGGTCCTTTAACTTTAACCCAATTGTAGCAATGATCTTTCCAACATAACTCATTTTGACAAAATTCTGACAAAGTTGACGAAAATGACCATAACGGCATGTTTTGATGAGTTGAGGGACCCCAATTGTAGTAATGGTTCTTCCAACATGACTTATTTTAACAAAATTCTAACGAAGTTGACGAAAATGACCATAACTACACATTTTCATGAGTTGATGGACCAATGGTAATGGAGTTCTAGTTGAAGAATCATGGTAATGGAGTTCTAGTTGAAGAATCATTGCTCCAATTTAATTAAAATTGAGGAACCATTGCTATAATTTACCCTTCTTCTTATCAGAAATGTTGTGGGCCTGTTGAAATAATAGTAGTGGACAACTTGAACTTCATTAACCCCTAGTATCTCAACGCGCAACCTCACTGTCACTTGATTTTACTCAACCTTGATCTTATTTCATTATTGATGGCTAGTGTAGAATATTTATGTTTTTGGTATTGAATTGGTTAATCTCTTTGTTTTTGGATTTGACCGTTTAAATATTAATTGAGCTACTCTAAATAATTAACATGCATATGTACATAAATGGGATCAAAGGATATCAGAAGTAAAATTTTCTTAAGGTGTTTGAAATACAAAACATAATGCCTTTAGACCATCTCCAACCCTTAGGCTAAAAGCCAAATTTTTTAGGGCGGAAAATTTGGCTTTTAGCCCAGAAACAGCTTTTCTGCTCCAACCCTTCTGGCCTAAAATTTTAGCCCAGGATTATTAAAGAATGAACTTAGACTAATTTTTTTCTTAAATCAATTAAAAAAAATATGTAGACTATTGTAAATTAATTTTGTGAACATTTTAATCTAAAAAAATTTAAATTCCGATAAATATTGAAAAATAATTAAATTTTTCACAAAGCAAGCCTTCAAACGACAATTAATAAACTTAATTAATAAAGCACATAATTCATACATCAAAGTGTGGAATAATAAGTACAATAATTATTGAAGACATCTAGATTAAATAGAAACACCTTCCTCACATGTCCAATTACGACCTCTAACATGTTCTCTTGTCATGTTGAATAATTTGGAAATGGAAAGAAATGGTAGAAAGATAAATTGGAAGAATTATAGGAGAAAATTGAGTTTTGTGTGGATGTTTGAACAAATACATAGGTATTCATAGAGTTTTTGGGTGAATTTTGAGTTAAATAATTTTTTTTAATTATTTTAGCCGTTGGATTTAAATTTGGGCCGTTAGATCCTTTTTTTTACTGTTAGATTTGATTACATTTGATCTCAGTCGTTGGATTCAATGTATTTTAAAATAACATATTTTTTAAAAATGAAATTTGAATTTGGACCTTTGGATCAACCAACGGTCCTTAAATGATGGTCATCGGATGGGGAAAAGAGCCGTTACGCTCGGGGGTAGTGGCCGACAGGGCCCTGGCAGTGGGACCCTGCGTTGTCGGAAGCAAATGCAAACCAGGCCCGTGGGGCGCGTCCGCAAGTGGGCGGGCCGAGAGTGGCCCAAATTGTGGCGAGTCCAAGCGGATAGGGGGGAATTTAGCCCAGTTTTAGCATTCCCCTTTTAGCCCAATATTTTAGCTTGGATTGGGTGGTGTTTGGGGGGAAATTTTGGGCTAAAATTTGGCTTTTAGTCCAGGTTTGGAGTTGGTCTTAAGAAAGATAACATGCCGTTCACAAAGAATTTCTATCGTTACAAAAAAAACAATGCACAATTCTGTAAAAGCACGAATAAGGGCTCACTTAGCATTATATTTTAAAAAAGCCAAACACTTTCATGGTTAAAAGCGTTTTCGAATAATTACTAAAAGTGTTTTTGGTAATATTTGGCACTTAAAAGTGCTTTGAAATTATAAAAGTGTTATTTTAGTGCTTTCTAGAGAAGTAGTCCAAAAGTTTTCCTAGAAATTGCTTAATTTGTAAAAAATTTGTTATGTTTTAACACAAACGCTTCCAACAAAAGTACGTACTTCAGAACATAAGAAAATTGAATCGTCTCTATCAACTGAATTCATCTGAATTGGGATGGCCATTGATGGGCACCCATTAGGTGCATGTTAGCTTTGTTGTAATTAATTAGGTGATATGAGTTGTGACTTGTGATGATTGTCAAGTGGTGGCGCAAGTGGTGGTCGTGGGCGGTGATGGAGGAGTGTACAATTATACATGCCCATCTCTACGTTAGGTAAAACTTATCTTGTGATCAACTTGTGAATATTCTCACAACCCAATCCTTATCTGGCAATATTATATTCATTTGGTATCGCCTACAATTCAAATATGTTTTCACATGCTCCAAACCTACTACCAACCCCAACAGATCCTCTCCCGATTTTTTGGTGAGGATTCTGAAGATTCTTGAATTATGTCCGTTCATCATATATTGTACGGTCATTTTTTGTCAAATATTATTTATATTTATTTTTAAATAAAAAAATTTAAAATAATTTCTAACCGCACGATGTACAATGTAAAATGAACGAATACGATTCATAAATTTTCGAGATCTTCATAAAGAGGATCCGGACTCCTACCAACCATTACTTCCGATCCGCAGCGTTTACTGGTAGCAAAATCTACTGATATGCTGTCCTGTCAATTGACAGTTGGTTCGTCGCCCTCAGTGGCAATATTTATTTAATGTTGAAGAAAAACATCTTTCTATTCCAGTTCAAGCATACTGACTGTCTCTTCATCTCCTTCAAAAGTTATGGGGAATTTCTCAGTACTTGTTCAGGCTGTCCTAACTACGGTTCAGATTTTGTGCTTTTCAATTCTTAAAGCGTCTTGTAACTCTCCCATATCTTTGGAAGGAAACGCAGCTTCGTCCTCTTTCCCAAGCGACTTCCTTTTTGGAACTGCTTCCTCTTCTTACCAGGTACGTACGTTGCGTTCTTGTTATCTACGTGCTGCCGGAAAATACTTGGCTCTTGTACAGTCTCTTTTCTCCTTACAGACAAACCATAACTTGATATACGCGTGCAGTAACTTCTCATTTTGTTCTTTATAATTTTGTGTTGATATTTGATTTCTTCTTCGTATGATTCCCAGTATGAGGGAGCTTATCTGAATGATGGTAAAGCACTCAACAACTGGGATGTTTTCACTCACGAGCCCGGTTAGTATAATGCATCTATTTATATATGTTTTACTCCCTTGATGCAATTTTTTCCTTGTTATTTGTATCTGAAGGCGGCATTATTTTGAGTTGTCACAGATCGTATCTCGGATGGAACTAATGGAGATATTGCTGTTGATCAGTACCATCTTTATATGGTTAAGCTCTTGATACTTAAAAGGATTAATTAAGAATATTTATTGCTTTTAAAATCCACTGATGTATCTTTAAAAAATGTTATTCTATTTGTAACATTATTTGTATCATCTCTCCAATAGAATTGGGACCTGCATGCGTGGACTGACTATACCTCTATTAGAGAGGTGATACAAGTAATGATACAAATAAAGAGTGTAACACTATTCATATTTCTATATGTTAATCTTCTTAAACGTGAAAAATGTGGGGATGGGGTTTAAAGAGTATAATGCCAAGTCATTAAATAAGGATTTGGATCCCAGATCCAAATTCTAGGGATTCTAAGGATCTTGACATCTTAGTTATTCATCGTGCATTGTACGATCAGAAATCATTTTACTTTTTTTTATTTAAAATTAAACACAAATAGTATCTAACGAAAACTGACTGCACGATGTACAATGAACAATTAGAATATAAGGATCTTTAAGATCCCCACAAAATGGATCCCAAGATAATTCTCTTCCATCAAATACAGTAGTCAAATAGTTTGTTGCACTTTTATTTGTGATTAGTTAAAATAGTTAGGGACTAAATAGTAAATAAAAAAGTTATATATACCAACTCTTTTGTCATTTATCCAATTCATTCAATCAAAGAAGAATTTTATAGAAGGCTTAGTTTCTTTAGTTTCTTTATCGTATCAGAGTCATATTAATTTTCTTATATGTACATGCAGAGAAAATTTTTAGTGTGGAAACATATTTTGATAGTGTCATAATACAAGTAATTGAAAATTTTCTTTTCAAATTCAATAACTTGTATCATAACATTTGATATATCAGATTATATTTTTGACACACTAAAAAAATACTTCGTATAAATACATTAATGATATGTTGAGTTGTGGAGAAGAAATTGACAAATGGAACGTGCGACATCAACAGGGCCCCAAGATTTTTTTGTGGGTATTATTTTAAGTGTTGTAATTTAAATAAAATATTGATACAAAATGACTGTTTTTTTTTTTTGTCGAAAACAAAATGATTGTGTTTCACTCACCATATAATTGTTAGAGTTATTGTTAGTTATGACACTTGTATTCTGCACAAAATTTCATTTTACTTTTTCCATTTTATTTTGTTTTATGATTCGTTTAAAAGTACTTTTAAAATGACTGAAAGCACTTTTAGATAAAATAATTTTCTGTTTCAAAAGTATTTTAAGTGCTTCATGTAAGAAGCACCAATTATGTGTTTTTTGTAGAAAGCAAATCAAATGTTTTTTCAAGATTCACTTTTACTAAGGCTTAATCCAAAAATATTTTCACCAAAAGTTATTTTAATCATTTTAAAAATACTTTTAAACAAGCTCTTACTTTATCTTAATTATTCTGTTACCTCTCTCACACAAACTGTTAACTTATTGACCTAGCATGAACCTTGACATTATAGTATTTCAAGCATTTTGATTCACAAAGATTTTGGCTGCGTAGTCCGCGTTCATTTTTTAGCTTGTCACCTGTAATGAGTTAATTTTAATACAAATCTTCTACTCTTCAACTTGGATGAGTTGATATAATATTAAATACTAGCAAGGAGCACACACTTTGTGTGTGTGAACAATTTCTTTTAATAAACGCATAAATATTACATCATTACTGTTTTGTCCACCTTATGTAAATATTGTGTATCAAAAGTGAGGGTAAAATTGGAAAAATAAGTATATCATTATCATTTTATGAAAAAAAAGACGGTAAAATAGGAAAAATATAGATTGATTGTCATTTTGTCAAAATGTTCAAATTACTATTTTGCCCTCTTTTTGTCGTGTATCAAAAGTGAGGGCAAAATAATAAAATAAAAAAAATGAAAAAAAATTGACAAGGAGGATTCTCTTAATAGTATAATAGAATAGATTTACAAAGAATACTATATCATGGGGTCTGCTGACAAAAATAAAAAAAATGCTATACTGTATATGGGACCCTTACACCTCTGTATTTTACGCAAACAAAAAAAAAAAGGCCTATATAATTAGATTGTAATCCTCAGAAAAGATATGATTTTCATGGAACGGGTGTAAGATTGAATACTAATTTTGATCCTTTAACTTTATGTCCAACTCAATGCATGTAAACCCTAACATTACATGTGGAAACGACAAAAATTGTCGGTGTGCCTTCAAATTTGAGATCATAAACCCCACGCCAGATGTTATCGTTCTCTACCCTCTTGTAGATTATATTCCAATTATTTTTTGACGAAATTTAATATTTTGTGGTATTTGGTAGCAACAACATAATGGAAGCTTTCGATAAAACTTGCTAGTGGAGGAAGACCTCCTAAGGATAGGAGACATAGGACTAAAGAGAGAGTTAAAAAAAGATCTTTTGTGTACAATCCTGAATAATCCGAATGTTATCAGTTTCAGTTTTCCAGTGAATTAACAAACTTTTGTGAATTTCTAGCTAGTTGAAACCCTTTAAAATAAAGTGTTGTTGATTTTACCGCTTGCTTTGACATTGATGTAAAAAACAGGAAGATTTGGATCTCATGAACTACCTTGGAGTCAATAGTTACCGGTTTTCTATATCTTGGGCAAGAGTTTTACCCAGTAAGTTTTTTCTTTCATTCCTTCAGAGGGTTTCCTGTTTGATTAGTAGCATTCAGTCTTCTTATCTCTCCTCCACTCACTTGCGCTCTAACTATTCAACCTGCAGAAGGAAGATTTGGGAGAGTGAATCGCGCCGGCATTGCTCACTATAACAAGTTCATCGACGAGCTTCTGCTTAGAGGTCTTCTTTGTTACTATTGTTTATGTGCTCATCCTATTCATCGTTGCTGAAAAAATATGACATATTTTCTTTGGCAACATTCTCCATGTCATGTTCTAGGAATCCAGCCGTATGTGACGTTGACTCACTACGACATTCCACAGGAACTCGAAGACAGATATGGAGCTTGGCTAAGTCCCCAAGTGCAGTATGTAGCAACATTCCCATCTGTCTGAAAAAAGTCACCAGTAAGTGATAACTATAAGGCTTGCAACTTTAATTTTGCAGGGCGGATTTCAAACATTACGCAAATACATGTTTCAAATTCTTTGGAGACCGGGTGAAGTACTGGGCGACATTCAATGAGCCCAATGTAGCAGTTCCAAATGGTTACAGGTTAGGGACATACCCGCCAGCTCGCTGCTCTATCCCATTTGGGAATTGTACTAGTGGGGATTCAGAGAGGGAGCCTTTCATTGCAGCTCATAATATCATCCTATCCCATGCAGCTGCTGTGAATGTATACAGAACCAAATATCAGGTAATTAACAAGAGTATGTATTTTGCCGATTTTCCGCACAAACTTGCATGAAACCCTCAAACTTTTATTTTGATGGATTTCCCTCTAAATTATTATACAGAGTCAATTTTCCCCTGGTCATGTTTCCTCACATTTCATCATCTAGTTTTTCGTTTAAAATGTCACATTTCAACAAGAGAACAGTAACAAATAACATTATTAAGAACAGATAAAATAACATTTAATGACTGTTATGTGACTTTTTTGGATGAAAAATTGTATGAAATGTGGGTAAATATGACAATATAGAGGAAATTAACTGACCATTTACAATCGGTCATGGGAAAATTAGCCAAAATAAAAGTTTAGAAGACAAATAGGTAATAATATGGTACAAGTTCATGGATAAAATGGCAATTCGTGTAAACAATCAGTTCGATCCGCATCTTTCTAATGCATGTCCTTAACGCTCAGAAATACAAGGAGGTAGCATTGGAATTGTCATGAATGCTCCATGGTTTGAACCCATCAGCAACTCCTTAGAAGACAAATTAGCAGCTGAGAGGGCTATATCTTTCTACATGAACTGGTAAGAAGTTCCTTGCTTTTATACATCCAGGTCAAGACCATTTGATTTTCTTGCTACACGGCACACAACTAAAACGGTTCAACAATGTAGGTTCTTAGACCCGATTGTACTCGGGAGATATCCTGCAGAAATGCAAGAGCTTCTAGGAGCTGATTTGCCAGCATTTTCAAAATCTGATGTGGAGATGCTGAAGAAGACTGGATTAGACTTCATTGGCCTCAATCATTATACCAGTTGTTACTCAAAAGACTGTATGTTTTCGGTATGTGAATCAGGAACAGGAGCTTCAAGGACAGAGGGTTACGCTTTGAGAACTTTCGAAAAAGATGGAGTCTTCATTGGAGAACCAGTATGTAACTTACCTAAGATTTTTTATTACCTAATCAGTTTAGTCCTGACAACTGATACTGTTTATGAGAAATACCCGATGAATGAAAGTATAGAAAAAAATCTCACTTATAGTGCAATTACACTTGGGTCCAAGAGTTCTTTTTCTTTCTTCAGAACGGTGTTTAAAGCATTTTTTGTTATTATGAACCAAAGTTTGAGTAGTTTATTTGTGAACAAGCCATTTCTTTTTTATGTAGACTACGATTGATTGGCTATATGTCTATCCTCAAGGAATGGAGAAGATCGTAACGTACGTAAAAGAAAGATACAATAACACACCAATGTTCATCACAGAAAATGGTAAGGTGCAAACTAAAAGTAACTTCCCCAAACCTAATTTTATATCTGAAAATTAAAGACTCTTATATAATTGGAGTGGATCTTTTAGGGTTTGGTGAGATAGAGAATTCAAATTCAAGTAGTGCAGAATTACTGCACGATGTCAAGAGATTGGAGTACATGGGATCCTATTTACAGGCACTTGCAAAAGCAATGAGGTAAATCCTATTTCTTGGATTTTAAGTAATCTCAGCTATCAACGTTACCATATCCGCATTCTCTTCCCTTTGAATGCATATATGTTAGAGATATTCTTGCATATTATGGGTGTATATGTCGTTCCTTTTAAATTAAAAACTAAATCACATAATCATCAGCATGAGATATGATGTAAGTGCGACTTTCAAAATGAATCTCGTATATACCCATTGTATAGAAGCATTTTCTCTATATATGCATATGCTACCAGTGTGATTTTAGGGGAATATCAAATCTTTATTTCAGAACCAAACTCTAACATATGCAAACAGATTCCAATGTGATGAAAGGCTTTCTTTTTTTTGCCTCGTGATGAAAGTCTAATTGAACATTTGAAAATGTGGTCAGAAAAGGAGCAGATGTGAGAGGTTACTTGGTGTGGTCGTTGCTGGACAATTTCGAGTGGACGAGTGGATATACTATTCGGTTTGGACTTTACCGTGTTGATTATACCACTCTCAAGAGAACTCAAAGACTATCAGCGGCTTGGTACAAACAATTCATTTCGAATCATACGGTGCAGGCTTCAAGTACCTCATCATGATATAGAACTATGCAGAATTAATGTACACGGCTGTTATCATGACAAGAAATTCGCACAAAGTTGTGCTTTTGAGTTAGTCTTATTGAGTTGAATTATAACAGTTTGACCAATTAATCGCCCATAAATATCGGTTGAGTTCATGTTAAACCGTAGATTACCAACTAAAACTAAGACATTTTAGTAATATTATAAACAATTAAAGTAAAATCTAGGAAATTTTAACGAAAAGCATCCGGTACTGTTTACTTTAACCAAAAACCACATTTTTACACTAAAAAGTCAATCCTGGTACTATTCACTTTACCCTTTATTTTGTCCTTATCATTAAAACTCAAAGTTTTCAAGCCCTTTTCATTAATTTTCCTTAAAATCTATTCATTTTGGTTGAGTTCATGTTAAACCGTAGATTACCAACTAAAACTAAGACATTTTAGTAATATTATAAACAATTAAAGTAAAATCTATTCATTTTGTAGTAAATTTATTGGATTTTGAAAAAAAAAATTCCAATATGATTTGGATTGTTACATTAACTTTCAAACGCAGCTTATTAAGTGTGATATTATTTATCAAGATAACAACTTTATGTAGAGCACTCAAGAGCAGCTTTCTTTAGTAGAGAATCTATGGACTGTCAAATTTTAATTAACGAATGTTTGTTGATGGCTTTTACCTTTTGACGCAAGATGTCAGGTTTCAAATTGCGTGAGAACGTTAGGTATTCAAATTGCCATTCTCAAGCAGACCATATTTTGTTGTTGCTACTGTACACCGAATTGATGTGTACGTGCATGTGATTGCGATGATTCTATACAGCTTTATGAATAATAGCCACAATTTAGCTAATATTTTTAGAAAAAGGTGAACTAAATTTTACACATTATGGGTTTGATGTGATTTTTAATTGGGCCTTCTAATTTCTCACGTTACATTGCATCATAAAGTTTTGAATTTACATCAATTTATACTTTTTATCTCTTTGAAATTTGAACGTCTAATCCTTCATAAATGATGAGTTTTTTTTTTTGCTTTTTTTTTTGTCAATGTAATGCAAATTTAGCTTATACGTTAGCTTATATAAGGGTCTCACACGCACTATGTCATCAATTTAATGAAGAATTAAACAATCAATCCGACTAAAAGTATACATTGATACAATTTCAATACCATATGGTACAAAATGGAAAAAATGGTAATTTCATGGCCCACTTGATAATCAACCAAAATATGAAGAGTGTGAATTGTAGTAAGCCATTTCATAAATGTTAGTCGTATAAAAACTTTTTCAAGGCTATATTTTAACTACTTATATGTAGAAAGCATAATTTGAATTTAAATACAAAAGAGCAAGCACATTGTCGTTGCCAAGTAGCCAAACTCAAACCTACGTATGTAGTTTGTGTTGACAAAAAAATCAAAGGAAATAAAAAAAATCTCACTTGGTTTCAGAAGTAAGCTAATTTGATCACATGTTATCCCCTTTATTGTTGCATTTTTTCTTTGATACAGTCATGCATGCACTTAGTGCAAGACACTTTATCACATCGTCGTCTTAGAAGTGCATTGATGTCTCGAACTAATATATTTCACTCTAATACAACATACTACTCAAAGCACCTACACTCTCCCACTTCAGGCATAAAGACTTGAATCAGGTACACTACCATTTCATCAAGCAAAAATACTACCACTTCATATAGTGTGAAAACTTACAAAAATTAAGAAAACCACTATTGTTGTACTGTATAAAACGTTCATGACATGAGTTCAATGGCGTGTGAGGAGAGAGATATAGAGGAAGAAGAGGGCAATGCAATGAGCCTGTTACAAGGAAGTATTTTTCATCTCATTAGTTTATTATTTTTATTTTCTTGCAAAACTTGTTTGATGTCACCAATTTTCAATATTAAAATTGGATCAATCACCGTTTTTTCATTTTAAGAAGAATTATTTTATTGATTTATTTCGAGAATGAATGACCATTCATCTATACTGAAATATGAAATTATTTATTGATTTAAACCAAATTTCCTAATTTTGGGGATACTTTCGTCTTGTTATCTCATGTACGACATATAAAAAACGTCCAAGATATTTAACTCTTTTGAATTATATGATTGGTTGATGAATAGTGATCCACCAAAAGGCTATGAAAATCTCAGTGATGCATGTGACTTTGTGGTACATATGCAGGCCAGGATTCATTTTTCCCTGCTTATCATTGGCGAGACGCTTCCAGATTTTCCGTGTTGCATCTTTCCCTATCGATACCTTGTGTGATTTCCAATGTGATAGAATGAGGATTCTTTTTAGATTATTTTTATGAGGATCTTGAGAATTTTCAAATCGTGTTCGTTCATCGTATATCGTGTAATTAGAAATTATTTTAAATATTTTTATTTAAATTTAAATATAAATAGTATTTAATGAAAATTGGTCGCACGATATACAATAAATGAACACGATTTGAGAATCTGGAGAAGATCCACCTAGGTGTGATACGATTTCAATCTCTTTCTTGCTCGCTGATTTGATATTTCTTCCTCTTGCCTTGATTACTATTAAGCAAAATCAACAGTAATCGACCCGGCTTCTCTGCCCTCCCACTTTTCATACACTTCAATCCCCTTCTATTTTGTGCGGTCACGGTTAAGCCACGTCAACATTTTATATTGATTTTTTTTATAGAAATAATAAGACAAAAAGTAATAGTAATATAAAATGTTGACATGGCTTAACTGTGACCGCACAAATAGGAGGGGATGAGAGTGTATGGGAAGTGGGAGGGCAGAGAAGCCAGGTCCTTGGAGACTTGGCAGTTTGCTCACATTGATAATGATAGATAATAGAAAACTTTAACGAAAAGCTCTCGGTATTGTTTACTTTAACGAAAAATCACATTTTTACAATAGAAAGTCAATCATGGTACTATTCACTTTACCTTTTATTTTGTCAATTTCGTTAAATCTCAAAATTTTCAAACTATTTTCATTAGTTGTCCTTAGATAATATTTGTAGAGTACAAACACACATTAACACAAACCAGTTCTGCTCTCTTAAAATCCTTATTCTGAGGACTTGTAAGAACCAAATGCATACTAGTAACAAAATTATATTAATTTATATTTGAAGGCTTAAATTTTTTAATGACTTAATAAAGTAAAACATCAAATTGAGTTTTTTAATGATTCATAGATTTTAAGTTTGTTTTGTTTTGTTTTTTTTTTTAATCGAATGGTTTTGCTTTATTAATTTGTCAAATATTTTAAGCATTTAGATCTAAATTAATATAATCTTATCGTTAATATGCATTTGATTCTCACATGTTCTCAGAATGAGGACCTTAAGAGAGCAGGATTCTAACACAAGCACCTATAAATAATTCATCATATCATTAAACATACAATCGATTCCATTTGATGAGATAAAGTTTTGTTGTTGTGTTATCATGTATTAGACCAATCAAATTGTGCCAACAAAGTGGTGAGACACCACTCAACAAGCCATGATAATGGTATTTTCAAGTGTTCGCATTGAGTACGTGTTTGTATTATAGCCGCATCATGCATTCATATACCATGGCAGCCACAAATTTAGCTTCAAAAGGTCGTGAGTCAGTACTTTTTCTGGGAAAGCATTGTTTTGAAAGGAAAGGGATCCTCTCCGATCCCTTCCACCAAGTCCACCCATCCGGACCATTGAAATTTGATTTAACGGCTAAAATTATTATAACTTTTAATGAGACCCCTTATTTGTAGCTGTTGAATCAAATTTCAATGACCTGAATTGGTGGAAGGGATCTGGAGATCCCTTTCCGTTTTGAAATTACTCATTATTGTACTCGAATGTTGGGCTATAAATTAGTATCATTGTTAAGGAAAATTTGTTACCACTCCATGCTGTCCTTGTGGTTTAGTTACCTAGACATTTTAACCATTTTGTGAATCATATGATTGGTTGATGAATGGTGAATCCATCAAAATGATGCTGATATATCTTTGATGTAAACTTTTTCTTGCATGTAGGCCAGGATTAATTCTCCTTCTTATGATTGAGGATGCTTCCAGATTTCTTTTTCTCATATTTCGGATTTTCCTCGCTCGTTCATGTCACATCTCTTCCTTTTACTTGTTTTCCAAAGACTTGTAACATACCAACCGGCCGGTCCATTGCTGATGTTTCTGAGCAAATCCAACGGTAACGCAGGCTCCATGCCTATCGTAGATCTTCCATCATAATGTCAGTATTTCTTTTTAAGGAGGCCTCTTGAGTAATAACTATATATATCTACATATACCATTTCATTCATTCATACTTTGAAACTTGTAATGGAGCATTTTTCAGTACTTCATGTTTTCCTTATTGTTGATATATGCTTTGCAATTCCAATGGTATCTTGCAATGACATATTTTTTAAAGGAAACTCAGCTTCATCCCCTTTCCCAAGTAACTTCCTCTTTGGAACTGCATCCTCTTCTTATCAGGTATCACATCTAGACATATAAAAATACTTGGGCAACTCGTTACATGTAAGAAGTTTTTCCTCCTTATACAAACAAACCACAATTTGACACATGCGTATAAACATTTATTTTTTTATTCTTTTTATAAATCCCTTCGATATACATGTCAGTTTGTGACATGCAGTTAGAAAATTTCTTCTCTCTTTTAACTGTAAGGAGAATGTTCCACACAAACCACACACTCACAAACTCATCAGAATCAGTTATCTTCGTTTTCTTTTATTATTAATGTCATCTCCTTTGTATTTTCCTAGTTTGAGGGAGCTTATCTGAATGATGGAAAAAGCCTAAGCAACTGGGATGTTTTCACTCATAAGCCTGGTTAGTTTAATGCTTAGGTTTCACTCCTTTGATGTATTTTTTTCTTCTTGTCATCAAAATCCAACGGTGGAGTTATATATTTTGCTTGCCACAGGTCATATTTCAGATGGAACTAATGGAGATATCGCTGGTGACCAGTATCATCTTTATCTGGTAAGCTCTTGAACTAACCTTATCGAGTTAGACTCCAAACATATATTGAACATTCTAGAAATAAAAAAGAATTTTGAATAAATTTTTATGAGTTATTTACTTTTTTTTCTCTCTAAAGTTTTGTCTAAACAGATAAAAATTAATTTTGAATCTTTAGCACAATACTATATTCCGAAAATATATTTTGTGTTTTTTTTTTTTTGTTAAATTTAGAATTGTGGGGTCGACTTCTAAATTCTGCTTCAACCAAGTTCAGGCAAAATTAATCTAAGTTTGACTTGCACCCATATTCTTTTAATTTTGCACTAGGTGCTCCCATATAAGGAGACATGCCAAATTTCCTTCTCTGTATACGTGAATGGTTTTAAGTGTGGGACATACTCTGTTGAATCCTTCCAATTTTGGATATAGAGAGCTGATTGTGAGTCTAGATCACCTCCTCAAATTATCATGATGGAATGATGGATTATGATCACTTAGCCCAAAAAAAAAACAAAGTTATGAGATCGTAAACCCCATTCTGGCCAGTTGGTACTGTGCTTTGTAGATTGTATTCCAATTAGAATTGTGTGCTTAACATTACGTTTTATCTGTAAATTACAGTTTGACACAATATGCAAATGTAACTACAAAGTTCAGAAAAAAATTGTACACATATAAATGTCACATGACATTATGACACAGTATGCAAATGACTCTTTACATGTAATGAGGAGCCAAATATTTTCTTCCAATAATACATAGGTATTTTCTTATGGGAATAATTACTAAACTCATAGATCCCATCTGAACAATTGGTGTGCAAGTTGAAACCCTTATAAAAATCTAGTTAAAAACCTAATGTTTTTAATTTTTATGGCTAAATTAAAATTAGATAGAACATTGATGATCTTGCTTTGACATTGATATGGAAAAACAGGAAGATTTGGATCTCATGAATTACATTGGAGTCAATACTTACCGGTTTTCCATATCATGGGCAAGAGTTTTACCTAGTAAGTCTTTTTCATTCTTTTTCAGAAATTTCTACTCACTTATATTATAGAATCCAATCATCTAATCTCTACTCACATATATTATAACTTTGAACCAGAAGGAAGATTTGGGAAAGTGAATCGAGCTGGCATCAATCACTATAACAAGTTAATCGACGCTCTTTTGCGTAGAGGTTTCTTTGTTACCGTTGTTTATGTGCTCATCCAATTCATTGTTGCTAAAAAAATATGACACATTTTCTTTGGCAACATTCTCCATATTAGGAATCCAGCCGTTCGTGACGTTGACTCACTACGACATTCCACAGGAACTCGAAGACAGATATGGAGCTTGGCTAAGTTCCCAAGTGCAGTATGTAGCAACATTCCCATCTGTCTGAAAAATTAATCAATAAGTGATAACTATAAGGATTGCAATTTTAATTTTCAGGAAGGATTTCCTATATTATGCAAATACATGTTTCAAATTCTTTGGAGACCGAGTGAAGTACTGGGTGACATTCAATGAGCCGAATGTAGCAGTTATTCGAGGCTATAGGTCGGGAATGTACCCGCCCGCTCGCTGCTCTAGTCCATTTGGGAATTGTACTAGTGGGGATTCAGAGAGAGAGCCTTTCATTGCAGCTCATAACATCATTCTATCCCATGCAGCTGCTGTCCATCTATACAGAACCAAATATCATGTTAGTAACAAAGATGTGTCAAATTCATTCGCGAGAGCAATTAATTCGATGTGGTTCTAATGCATGTCTTTTGATGCTCAGAAAAAACAAGGAGGTAGCATTGGAATTGTTATGAATGCCGTATGGTATGAACCGATCAGCAGCTCCTTAGAAGACAGATTAGCAGCTGAGAGGGCTATATCTTTCTATATGAACTGGTAAGTAAGACCATATGCAGTAGGCTGTTCTCATATTTCTCTGGTCACACTACAACTAAGATGTTTAAAATGCAGGTTCTTAGACCCAATTTTACAAGGGAAATATCCTGCAGAAATGCGTGAGCTTCTAGGATCTGATTTGCCAGCATTTTCGAAATCTGATGTGGAGATGCTGAAGATGAATGGATTGGACTTCATTGGCATCAATCACTATACGAGCTTTTACTCAAAAGACTGTATGTTCTCTGCATGTGAACCAGGACCAGGGGCTTCAAGGACGGAGGGTTTCGCGTTGCGAACTGCACAGAAAGACGGAGTCTTCATTGGAGAACCAGTACGCAAACACATCTCATGATCATCACCACAACGATTAATTTCTTGTAGCAATTTACCTACTTTATTTTTATTTACGGATGTAGACTTCGGTTGACCGGCTGTATGTCTACCCTCAAGGAATGGAAAAGATGGTCACGTACGTAAAAGACAGATACAATAATACACCTATCTTCATCACAGAAAACGGTGAGGTCCAAATTCAGATCTTTGATTAAAACATGAACCCACCCCACCCCCACCACCCCCCCCCTCCCCCCCCGGGAACCCCAATTATTTGATCTGATAAAGATTCTTTTATAATTATTAGAATTGATCTTGTAGGGTTTGGTGAGGTGGAGAATCCGAATTCCAGCAATGAAGAATTACTGAATGATGTCAAGAGAGTGGAGTACCTGAGATCCTACTTACATGCACTTTCAGAAGGAATTAGGTACACTGAACTGCTTGCGTTTATTTCTTGGATTTTAAGTAATCTCAACTATCGATGTCATCAGAGTAAGTCCACCCCTAAAAAAATGCACTAGCACCCATCCCATTTAATCCATTCAGTGAACAGTGATAGACCCAATGAACAGTAATTGGCCAAATGCATCTTCACCCCTAAAAAATACACTGGCACAAAGTTTAAAACATGCGCTGGAACGAACGATCTCCACCCTACAAAAAGCTCTGGCACCAAATCCATTTAAAATATTATTAATTTTTTAATTTCGGATAGGATTTTTAACCAATCTTATCACACCACATGTCATTATCCGAAAGTACTATTTGTGGATAGATGTCCGATAAAATTTTCAACCAATCCCGACACGCCATGTGTCACTATCTATTTACAATAATTTAGCCAAGATTTCAATCAGATTTTCAACAATTTTTCTATATTTTAAAACAATTTTTAATAATTTTTATTAATTTAATTAATTTGGACCGTTGGATTTGCAAAAGATTCAAATCCAACAGCCCAGATGTGGACATGTGGCCAATGGTCATAATTCTGACCGTTTGGTTTTTTTTTTTTTCATTTTTTTGGGACGAAAATCATGGACCGTTGATCTTGGATTGGATAGCCCAAAATGCACCACATCAACTAGCCGTTAGGTTCAAATTTCAAAATTTTTTTACCGTTGGAAATCCAACAGCCCATAACAAGCCATGTGGTCACTCATGGGTAGAAATTAGTGCACTGCAACGGCGGGCCACACCGCCTTTTTTTGTTGTAGACGCGCGCACACTCACTCGTTAGGTGCCAACTTATTAGGCTGGGCTGGAGCAAAAAAATAGGAGGCTGGCCTATTTTGTGTGCTTTGAGCCGGCCTACCCCAACGGGGTGGAGCTGCTCTCATGCTTATTTTGTTTTTAAGTTATACTTACATTTAGAGAGATTCTGGCATGCATATTACGTAGTGATGTATACAACGTTCATCTTGTAATGATCAAAATGTCATAAGTGTGCTTGACTTAATAAGGTATACACTGGCTGTTTACAGTGATTTTCTGTAAGTAATTAACATTGTGATGTTTTGGTGAATCTCAAATCTGAAACACAAACAGTCTATGCAAAACAGTATCAAATCATCAAGTGTGTGAAAAATCTAATAAAGCTTTTTTTATTTTTTATTTTGTTGTTGTTAATATATGGTTAGAAAAGGAGCAGATGTAAGAGGGTACTTGGTGTGGTCGTTGCTGGACAACTTCGAGTGGACGAGTGGCTATACGGTCCGGTTTGGACTTCACCATGTTGATTACGCCACTCTCAAGAGGAATCAAAGACTGTCAGCAGCTTGGTACAAACAATTTGTATCTAATCATACGGTGCAAACACACCTACCCACAAACTGAATCTTGCACCAACATATCTATGTTCATAAGGACCCTTTATTTTATTTTGTTTTATTTTACATAAACCAGAAAAGGCAATTTCAACATTGCTAATCGGCAACTGCTATCATATTTATTAATAAAAATAAATAAAAATGTAATATGTCAAGAGGGACATGAAGCCAAACCTTTAATGTTAAAGAAGTCATGAAAATTCTTATTCCATATCGTTGTTGACATGTGTTCCCAAGATCGTCCAGTCATCCATATTAATGTTCGTTTTGCTTTGAGTGATACTAGGGATACCATATTTTGTTGATCACATTTTAATTATCTATGTAATAGAACTAGGGTTCACAATACAAGGAGTCACCTCTATTAGAGTTTACAAAGTGGTGACCCTAACATTTTCTTAATTTTTATAATTTGAGGTGTTTATTTAATTTTTATAGAATATGGCACCCTTGGGGCTTTCTATTTGATTGTGTTGAAAGTTTACCTAGTATAATTCTTTTACATAACGATATTAGTCTTAAAGGTAGGGAAATAAATTGGCTTCAAATTCATTATTCATAAGATTCGAATATAAAATCTTTCGTTATCTACTAGCCCCTTGACACACATCTATGCATGTGTCAATTGGCATTTTTTATGACAAATTATGTGTTCTGTTTTCAAATTATTGTAAATGATTTTTTTTCTATTTTAATTAAAAATAGAAAATGAAGTAACAACCCCTCGGTGATTTGTTTTGGAATTACTGTTTTAACCCCAACTAGATTAATTTTAATATTTTAAAATTCTAGTTAAGGGATGGGCAAAACTAAGTATTTTGCATGATTCACCATGTTTGCCTCTCCCTGTATATATGCAAATAACTATATGTGTGTAAACATAAAAGATTTAAGAAAAAAAATATCAAAGAGAGATTTTGGTAAGGGCAAGAAAACCGACGTGGGGGAGGAGTTTTGAGTTCTTTTTCGTGCTCAGGTTGATTTTTTAGGTTTTTCTAGATGTCTCAAATGTGAAAACAAGTTGAAAAGACCAAAGAGCAACTGTCATGTCAATGAAACTAACGTTTTCTTCAACCCACTTGACAAAATGGAGTAAAGTGGGACATAAAAGAAAAATATAAGGGTACGTTTGTTACACCAGATTATCTTGGACTAGACTAATTTCATGGACTAAGCTGAACTAGCTTAGACTAGACTAAGCTAGATTAATTTAGTGAAATGTTTGGTGCAGTATCGGACTAAGAAGTAGGATAGAAATTTCAACGTGCAATTCACAAATCTGACACCAAATTAGCACAAACGCCTCAAATTTGGTCCAAACAATGACTCTTTCTTCTTCTTATTCGTTGGAAATTATAAGTAGCAACAACCAATTGCAATTTTCTTCCCACAATCCCAAACAAATTTCCTACATAATCTGCTTCTTCTTGTGAGAAAATTGTAATTTTCTCCCTAATCTAATACCCAAATTCGAGTTAACTCTTGATGCTAGACCAGAAAATTCTAAAACTTGACAAGAAATGCAGATCCAAAGTTTCTATTTTCCTAATGAAAATTTGGGATAAATTGCAAATTAGATTTAAGAAATTGAAAATTGGAGACAGAGATGGATGAATCCAGTCGTCGAAAATCAAGGTTGAGGTCAATGCCGTCGAAAATTGGAGACAGAGATGGATGAACCCAGCCGTCGAAAATTTTCAATCTTCCAAGTTCCAGCTTTCATTGAGCCCATGCCATCGAAAATCAAGGTTGATGAACCCAAGGCAGTGAAGTAGACAAAGCTGATAAGGGATGTAGCGAGAGTGGACGAAGGCAAGAGAGGACGATGGAAGGTCTTAGCTAGTCCTGTGGGTTTCGGGGTCTCTCGCTAAGACCGGCTAGTGAAGCCGTTTGTGAAAGCGAGTCCCACCTAGTACCATTAATGTTAGTCCCGCAAGCCACCAAACACAAGACTACATTAATACTTAATCCAATCCAATCTAGTGAAGGCTAAGAAGGGCAAACAAACGCCCCATAAGAGTTAAAGTAAGACAAAATAAAGTGAGATTTTGTGAAGAGTGCTAACTAAAAACAAGCCAAAAATATACTGTGCACTCTACGTTAGTATTTTTTAAAAATATAAAATGTTCGGATGCACAATAAACTTTTTGGAATGCTTATAAATATTCCTAAAATTTAAGGTTGGAAAAATACAGTGAATCTGATGGTAGACAGATCCTGTATATGTGTGAGGGTTTGCTAAGTATATTTTCCAAGCAAAATGGTGACCTCGCTTATAAAATAGTTGTTTGATCGATGTTTGATAAAAAGACACAAATATTCTATGGTAAGCTCTGAATCTCCATCCCAACTAAGTATTCACTAAGGCCGTGAAGACACAGAGAAGAATCTCATCAGACAAGAACAACCTTCCAGTTCAAGAGGTGGCTGGAGTGCAGCAATTTTCATCATCTGTAAGCAAACCCTTTTATCTTCTTACAATTATTCAGTTCAGACTACTTTTTTTTTCTTTTTGGTAATTTATTTTGTTGTTGTAGTTGTTGAGATGGCGGAGAGATTTTCTTACTAGGGCACGGCTAGAAACCTCATCACATACCTCACAAATGAACTCCATGAGCCCATCCCCATGGCTGCAAAGAATGTCAACACTTGGGTTGGAGTTTCATCTCTCCTCCCAATAATCGGGGGCTTTGTCGCTGATGCCTTTCTTGGTCAACACTATTCTCAGCTCATCGATCATTTATTGCTTTGTACGTACTGTTAAAGCATGACAACTATGCCTTTTGTATATAAAATCATTCTCAGCTGATGCCTTTCGGTCAACACCATTCTCAGCTGATGCTTTTCTTGGTCGAGTCAACACCATCAACTTATGAGATGCTTCAAGATCGGCATTCTTTTCAAAGGATCTGGTCCCCGTCCTTAAGTCATCACCACAAATGGATCGCAAGAACATTCCAAAAACCCAACAACGATGCCGCACAGACTGGTCGCAACCTGACGCGTTTGCATGGTGGTCATCCAGATTATCCCATTGTTCCTTAGCCACGATTCGATCATAATCACCCTCGTTTAGTGAATAAAACCCGCAGACCCAATGAACATACCATTTTTATATTAATACACCTTTCAACCCGTTGTTCCTTATCGTGGAAAATTTCCCTCACCAGCCTCTGCCGCAGCTTTTTCAACGCCGCCACTTTGGCCACTGCCGTCATATCAGAGTGGAAAACACCCGTCTTTGCAATTCCGCTTGTTTTTGGTTCTGTATTTTGGTGGATTTTTTAGTTTTGGGAATTAAAAATGATCAAATGAAATCTTTGTTTCTGGTAAATTATGAACAATAAGAGGAGAATTTTTCTTGTCATAGTATATGTACTTCTTCCTCCTACTTCCATTATCGCAAAGAGAGTATGAATCATTCCAAAAAATATAAAGAGAATAATTATGAAACTTGAAAATATTGAAGTCAGTCACCAATAGTCAAATACCAAAACCAAAAACCTAACACACACGCATCCCAGAATTCAAAGCCGAGAAGAATTCTACAATTTGGCCATTTTTAATGTTTAATGTGATTTTTTTTTTAATTTGATTTCTTTTTCTATTTATTTATAAAGATTTTTTATTTTAGGTAATTAACTACAAGGGTATATACCTCTTTAGAGGGGTTATGTAAAAGTGAATTAAAACCTCATTAGTGATATTTATCAAATGTGAGAGGTTTTTGTTAAAACATGAAAAACCTCAGGGGATGTTAATGTAATTAATCCTTTTTTTTTTTAACTCTCAGTGCCATTTCGAATGCAAAGAAGACTCAGACATTAAACAAAGTAATAAGCACGACTTTGAATTAGTTATTTGCAGCTGTCATGACTTGTATTACATTATATGATTTATCTTTCTTCATCTTCTTCTTGGTTTTACGCCTTTTCTTTAATTGGATTTTGATCCGAATCCAATGTAATTAATCGGATATAGATATGAGACTTGAACCAATAGTTCGTTAATGATTCAAATATGGTATCTCTTATAGAAAATATGATCCGATAATTATCCGATTCGGTAAAACCCGATATTCCTTTTCCATTCCTACATAATACCATTTTTTTTTAACAAAACATAATATTGTTGTAGGCCTAATTCACTGAATCATATAAAGGACAAAGAGAGGGGGAGAGTAGAGAAAAAGAGAGAGATGTGTAATTGTGAGGTATGTTTATCTCACCCTATTGTGCCGTTATTTATAGTAGTAGGGAAAGTGAATTCCTTACCTTAATAGGATTACAACTCTAATAGAATAATATTTAACCCTAGGGAATATTCGAAGATATCCTAGATACACTAGGATTTACACAATCACGTTCGTAATCTAATAGGACTACAACACTCCCCCTTGAATGTATAAATACTCAAGTAAATCAGGTCTTTAGCGATGAAGTAAGAACATTTGATGAAGTTGTCAGCACAATGAGTGAATATGAGTCTCAAATCAACGAAATAATGCATAAAGGGTAAAAGTCACAAAACCTTGCTATGGTAAAACCTAAGGTAGGAGAAAAACCCATAGACTAAGGAGAAAAGTGAGAAGTTGCATTAAATCAAAACTATACGTCTTCTGGACGCAAATAGAAGAGCTCACAAGGGTATGACCAGACCAAGATGGGTGCCTCGTCAAAACCTAGTTAGGTAGCAAAAACCTAGTGGGAAAAATGCTCATAATCGTAGGGAAAAATAGTACATTAAGATCAAGTGAGTATACTTCTAGATACTCCCCCTAAGTTTGACAGAACTTCCAAATGAGAACTACAAGCATTGCGTATGAATAGTTAGGCATACCAATTCCTCGAACAAGCTTTTGGAAAGTTAACTTCGGTAGTGATGTTGTATAGAGATCGGCAAGGTTGTCTGGGATTAGCTTGCATGATTTCAATCTCCTGATGCTTTGATGATGTAGATGCAATATATCTTGGCGTTGACTTCATTGATGTCTCATGTCTTGGTCGGGTGGATACATATGGCATAGTCTTCATGGATCATCGTTGGGACTCAACAATGGATGAAAACAGCAAGCACTTCGAATAGGCTCAACAAGAGATCTCAACTATGTCTCACGTGTGGCATAGTGAAGTGAGGTGAGTCTTGGAATGATTTGAAGATGTCGTAACAAAGGTCATATCATGGACCTCCAAGATTGCAATATCCCTAACGGTAAAGACATAACCATTTGCCTTGTGTGGGTTTGATAAGGAACCAGCGTCGGCATAACAAATAAGGCAAGCATTATTCTGAGGATAAAGGGGGTCAGATCTGGTCGGGATGCATTGGGATTAGCCCAAATTCATAGTACTTTTTAGGGTAGCGTAAAAGCGTCTTTAACACCAATTTAGTGGTTGCGTGTAAGCGCGGTGCTGCATCGATCTTTACCAACAGATCAACAACGAATGCGATGTCCTATCTAACGCAATGAGCTAAGTACAACAAAGCGCAAAGTTGAACTTAGATATGTAATTTTGGATTCCATAACCTTTTTAAGGGTTTCATTTGCATATAGCGTATGGAAGATCATATGTATACTCAAAGGTAACACCTTCGGGGTATAGTTTGACTAGTAGACCACGTATCGTCAGAACAATGCTTGAACTTCAAGTCAAGGTGAGCTTTTCCAAGATCATTCATCTCAAATTCCGTCTTCAGGTGCGAGACAGTTTTCTCAAGCTTTCAGGTGTCATTCTTCTCAATCATAGCTAATTCATATTCCATTGCTTTCAACCATGATTCATCTTCCATTGCTTCTTCATACTTCTCTGGATCCATGATGCAGAGATTGCATTGAGCCAATACTTCAGCTAGTTTTCTCTATTTCAGTAGAGTATGTTCAAATGCTTGAGTGTTTCTCTCATCTTGACTTATGCTGCTGAAGGATTCACCTGAGAGGGGCAAGATAGTTGGAGAGTTTAAGTTTTCAGCATTGGTATTCCTTCCATAATATTGTGATACAGGGAAAATTTGTGATAGCATGTGACTTTCATTATTTCCAGAATTGAAGATATCATATACAAATCTTCAATCAATGGGAGGCATCACATCAAAACATAATTTCCAATCCCAAGCTGCTTCCTTATAAAAAAACAATGTCTCTGGACAAGACAAGTTTCTTGGTAATTGGATCAAACACTCTATAACCCTTTTCACAAGTTGTATAGCCAACAAGTACTTCTTTGACAATTTTGGGTTCAAGCTTGTTTATAAGCTCATTTGGAACATGAACATAGCATAAAGCACCAAATATTCTCATATCTCGCGAATGTCATGGTTTCCATATGAGAATAGGCTTCAAAAGGTGTGATGTTGGCCAATGCCTTTGTGGGACATTTATTTAATAGATACACAGCCGTATGCACTGCTTTAGCCCAGAGATAGTATGACATTCCCTTCTCATGTAGCATAGACTTTGCCATTTCAACCACTGTCCTATTTTTCCTCTCTACAACTCCATTATGTTGTGGAGTGTAAGCTAGAGTAAGTTGCCTCCATATTCCTTCATTCTCACATAATTGTACAAATTCAGTTGACATGAACTTTCCCTCTCAATCATTTCTCAAACACTTTACTTTAAAACCATATTGTAGTTCTATCATGACTTTGAATTTTCTAAAACAACTGAATGCTTCAGACTTGTAATTTAGAAAGTATACCCATACCATTATGGTACAATCATCTATCAAGAGCATGAAATATTTATTTCCAGCAATTAACTCAACTTTCATAGGACCACATAGATCAACATGGACAACTTCAAGTGGAGCATTTGCTCTCAGTGCTTGATTATTTGAGAACTCATCTATCTGTTTCTTTCCATATTGGCAGCCTTCATATACATCACTGTGACTTTCAAGCTGTGGTAAACCATGTACCATATCCTTATCCCTCAATTGCTTAAGACCACCAAAATGTAGGTGCCCAAGTCTTCTGTGCCAAACCCAAGTAGAATGATTTACACTAGCTCTCAGTGCAATTTGGTTTTCAGGTATAAGTGACAAATGATGTCATCTGTTTCCTTTCATCTTCACTTTAATGACTAAGCAATTCAGTGAAGGACCATCAAATACATTACATATTCCTCCACCAAATAACAAGAAATATCCACATTCATCCATTTGTCCAACATTGAGCAAGTTTTCTTTTAATCCAGGGAGATACATGACTTTTCTAACATACTTTCTACCCTTATTAGTGTCAATAACCAAAGAACCCATTCTTACAACATTTACAAGATCTCCAGTAAGCATTTGAACTTTACCTGCAATGTTGGTTTTCACATCAACAATGAGATTCACATTTCCTGTCATATGATTGCTGCATCCACTATCAATGTACCATTCTCCATTCACTTTAGCCTCAGTGATTGCATTGTTAGCATAGAATAGATTCCCTGATACTTTTGCTTGATTTGCACTATTAGCTTTCTGCACTGTTTTTCCCGCCATACACTATCTAGCCCAGTGCCCAAAATTGTCACAATTATAACATTTTGGTTTGCCATTGTGTCTACACTCACCAAAATGAAACTTCAAACACACCTTGCACTGAGGTTTTATGACTTCTTGGCTCATTGATTGAGATGGGTTCACATTCTGAAATGAGTTTATAAAAGGTCTCTGTTGAAACTTGGGTTTTGACTCCCATTTCTTTCCCTTTGGATTACAATTTCTCTGAGATTTAAATGGCCCTGAGTAGGAGCTACCTCTATTTTTCCCCTTTTGACTCACAGAGAGTGAGGAGAAAGCTTTCTCAATTGTATCAACATTATACAAATCAAACCGTTGTTCTTAGCTCTTCAAGATTGCAATTACTTCCTGCAATTCTGCAGTCTCCAAACATTTTGTATTTTCTATGGCCAAACATATAGGGTCATAAGGTTTACTCAGACTAATCGAGACTAATCGAAACCTTTTGCACGAATCTCTCATTAGAGGGAGTTTCACCAAATGTTTTCATCTGATTAATCAACTCATTTAGCCTTGTAAGATAACTAGATAGAGACTCATCATCTCGCATCCTAGCATATTCAAATTCTCGTCTAAGGTTTTGAAGTTTTACCTATCTAACCTGATCACCACCGTGGTATTCTCCATACAACAGATCATATGCCATCTTGGCTGAGTCAACGTTGGCAATCTGAGGAAAATCTGATCAGAGACTGCATTTTGTATGATTCCTGGAGCCTTTGCGTTCTTCATGAATACAATAGTTATTTCTTCATCAGCTTCATCTTTCGATGACTCTTCAGCTTTCTTCTTCTTCTTTGAATCAGGGGTTGTAATCCCCTTTTCTACTAGATTCCATAACCCATGAGATTTGAAGATTGTTACCATCTTGATTCTCTAGAACTCGTAGTTATCATCGAAGAAAATTGGAGTCTTCACTTCTGAGCCTCCAGATCCAGACATCTTTGGTCTGAACAGGTTAAATATACTTCTCAGATGATAACGAAACTCCGGCAATCTTCACCAAGCTTCGAAATGAGCTTTGATTCAGCTTGGAATTCATAGTTTTATGCCCAGATTCAAATAATCGAACCTGACTATGAGGCCATGTTAGTGGTTCTGGTTTCTAAGATTTTCAATGGTTATGCAAAATGGAGAAGAAGAAAGAATTGATGAATGTTTTCCTCTCTGCCACGAAATGTAGCAGAGGAATATATCTCTCTTACTCTGATGCAATCACACATACATCGAGCAATATACATGACCATTAGAGAGAAGTGGCTGGATTCCCTACGTCACAAAATGATCTCAGCCATACGTTTAGCTAATTACTAGGATCATCACACATGGCATTTTATGCCTTACATCTTTTGACCTCACACTTGGCAATAATATACTCAAGTGAATACACAAATAAACTCATCTTACACTAATACTAATCAGCTATAGACTTATAATTCAACGATGTATTTACATTCGTTGGACTCCAAGAATTCTTCTACGACCAAATGCCGGAGGAAATGAGAACCATGGGAGCAGCAGCATACCTCAGTGCGGTAGGTGTTGGAAACTTCTTGAGCAATGCTATAATATCTGTGGTGCAAGAAATTAGCTCAATGCATGGTGAAAAATGGCTTGGTAACAACATCAATCGTGCCCACTTCGATTACTTTTATTGGGTAATTGCAGCTTTGAGCACTTTGAATTTGTGCGTTTATGTACTTCTTGCTAAACCTTTCGTATACAAAAAGTTTGAAGCACAAGAAACCAACAAGGAGAAAGAGCTAACTTGAAGCTTACGATCTCTCTTGCAGTTAAGAGAAAGTACAGGTATTAGTATAGAAAAATGTCTGTACTCATTCCGTGTTTAATATAAGGCTTTTATAATATAGTGGACACCTCACTGCCTCAACATTATATTACAGTAACTGTACAATACTTGTAAACTTTGGTGCGTTGCATTGATGACAATTTGTGGTAACTAATCCTTTTAATGATTCGATAAAAAGGAAGCCGTTATTGTTTCCTCGAATCCTTTATCCTTGTATCTTTTTTTCAAAATACAAATGTACGAATCATTATATTGCAATTGGTTAACTAGTAGAATTGGATGATCTTTTTCAAAACACACATGAATTTATGTACCTAGATTAACTGTATAATACGTGTAGAGATGGAGCCCCCAACAAAACATAAAAGATAAAACAATCAAGTAATTGTCCCCTAGGTGACAGGGAAATGATGGAATAGGTGGAATGTCTGAAAAGAAACAAAAAAGATAAAAACACTCTCATGCACTACACAACACTATCTTCTTTTTTTTTTTTTTTTTTTTTTTTTTTTTCTGTCCTCCATTTCCGGCAGAAAGTGGAGAGATTTTGCAAAAGTTTCTATAAAGTGAAACCTCACATGGGTAATCGGTGACGTTAACTTCTATTCTTCTTCTTTGCCGTCTCCTTAATTTTTTTTTTTTTTTTTAATATTGTAGGTATGAGATGCCAGCTTACTTTAAACTCTTCTAAGTCAAACGATACACGCGAACAGAAATCGGGTTGCCGGCCCATTAATTATTCTAATCCTTAATTAGTAAAAAAGAAATGCGTATCGTACAATCTTCAATTCCAGGTGAATAATTAAAGGGATCCCAGCGAACGGTGAAATCCATTTCGAGAAGAAAAAGTGGAAAAAGGGTAGAGATCCAGGAAGAAACAAAACAAACCCAAGAAATCAGAAATGGGAGATGGTGAGGGCTGCACGACCGTCCCACTGATTGATCTGAACCAGTTTCCAGATGCACAAGCGTACAAGAAACTGAGGGAAGCATCTGAGACATGGGGTTGCTTCAGACTTGTCAACCATAAGATCCCATTGAGTCTGATGGCAGAGATGAAGGCTGTGGTCAGATGTTTGCTTGACCTGCCCATGGAGATGAAGATGCAGAACAAAGATGTCATTGCTGGCAGTGGCTACGTGGCACCCAGCAAAGCCAACCCTCTCTATGAGGCTTTGGGTCTGTATGACTTGGGATCATCTCAGGCGGTGCATAGCTTTTGCTCTCAGTTGGATGCTTCTTCCGACCAGAGGTTAGCTTTTTGGCTCTCTTTTGCTTAGGAAAATAATTTCCGCACACCTCTTTTCTTTCACCACACATTCTATACCTTGATTCTTATTATTAAATAGTTTGATTACATACTAGCTGCCCAAATCAAGTTACAACGTTAATAATCGTCAAGATTATTTGGTCTAGTAGCACCATGTCTTCACATCAATATTCTACATTCGTCTGTAGTACTATATATAATCATTTTATGTGTCGGACGTCTATTAATTTTTTTGATTGAGCAATATTCTAATTAATTTGATGTAAACTATGGAATGAGAATTCAAACTTTGGTGCGGATGGGAAGCAATCTGCTGTAGCCTATTTGGGTGTATGACGTCCATTATTCTATTAAAAAAATGGACGGGCATTGGTAATATGTTGACACCAATGACACCGACACATTATCGATCGATTGCATCTCTTTTAACTTGTTTTCTAATAAATAACATATATATACACCCACATATACGTGGTCTTTTCAGAGCCGGATACGTTATTGATGAGAGTCTTGAGGTTAGTTTTGAGAGTCTTGAAGTTAGTTTTCTTATTGAATGAGCAGAGAGGTGATAGAGAAGTATGCTCAAGCAGTGTATGAGCAGTGTGTTGATATAGGGCGCAAGTTGGCAGAGAGTTATGGACTGGTTGATAGCGATTTTCTCAAGGGCTGGCCCTGCCAGTTTAGGATAAACAAGTACAACTACACCCCTGAATCAGTGGGCTCTTCTGGTGTACAACTACACACAGATTCAGGATTTCTAACCATTCTTCAAGACGATGAAAACGTTGGTGGTCTAGAAGTGATGGACAAGTCTGCTGCTTTTGTAGCAGTTGATCCTTACCCAGGCACTCTCCTTATCAATTTTGGGGATGTTGCTCAGGTATATATGCACAAAAAGATTGTCTTGTTAATTTCCCCCAGTTTTATGTTTGTATTTAATTTTTTTCGCTAATTTGCACTATTATAAGGTAATCTAATCTTGTTGATATTTTCATATCAAGGCATGGAGCAATGGGAGGTTGTGCAATGTGAAGCATAGAGTACAATGCAGGGAGGCAACTACTCGAGTTTCGATCGCTACATTTCTCTTGGGACCCAAGGAAGAAGCAGTTGAAGCTCTTCCGGAATTTGTGGATTCAGAGCACCCTCGACTCTATGTCCCTTTTTCTTATGAAGATTATAGAAAGCTCAGACTATCCACAAAAATGAGAGCTGGTGAAGCCCTTGAACTCCTACGCAGTCCATCCTAATTGTTGATATGAGGCAAATTGCTCAGCTTGTTAAATTTAATTTCCTAGTGATGGTGTGATATGAAATGTAATATTCATTTAGAGTCATTAGACGTGTGCTTTGCTTTGCTGATAACAGGCCACTTCAGTGGCTCTAACTCTGCTATGTGGGTAGATTAGGCTGTAAATTAAGCCTAATTATGTTGAATTTGGAGTATCAAATGTGTGATGGTGAAGTGTTGATACAACTGCCACCTCGAAATATAGAAAAAAAAGAAAAGGTGTTGGCAGTAAGACTCGACCAGCCACTGCATCCTTGTGTCACGGGCCATGTGTTAAAAACAAAGAAAATGCCCAAGACATCATATATCTAAGCCCATGAAGCCATGTCTTCATGGAAGCTTCTGGAACGTCCCGGAGAAATCAAGAACGTGGCGGAGCATTCAAGATAATCTAGGGCATTCCGGAACATTCCACACAAGTGTACATATTTAAGCCTCACCTAGAATAATCTAGATTAGGCAAGTTGTATCTAGAACTATGCTAGATATTTTTGGATGTAAGTAGGGGATTCTAGAACCCTCCATTGAGGAGGTGACTTAGGCCTATAAATAGGAGGTAAGGCCATTTGGCCAAACCATCCAAGAATTGTAAGCAATTGTAAAGTTCTCTTAACTTTCAATACAAAGCTTCCTTTCTCCCATCTTTTAAGTGATCTTAGCATTCTCCAAGCAATCTTAGCTTTCTTTGTGATTCGATCCGGGGAAGCGAGGCTTCGAAGGCTTACTTAGCTTGTTCATCGAGGTATTCAAGTCTAAGTGCCGCACGGGCGGAAGGCTTAAAGAGTCATCCCGTGACAGCTGGTATCAGAGCCAAGCTCGTGAATCACTTGAAGGAAAGTAGGATATGGCAAGTGGAGAGATGGTGTCCGGAGTCTCCGATCTAAGGGAGCGTACTGCCGAGGTCCAAGACGTTGCCAAGAGCAAGCCAAAGTTAAAGGACTTGCAAGCATCGATGGAGACCATGGAAGAGCGACTCGAGAAGGTGGAACGAACCATACTCGAGTTCGATACTCGACTTGATGAGGACGTTGTCGACAAGGAGGAAATCCAAACCATGGTGGACAATGGTAAGGATGAACTGCGTGGCTTGGTGGAAGGGCTACGAGATGAGCTCCTTGGCGCTCTCAACACCATGGCAGAAAAGATGCGGAGGGAAGTCCAGGTTCACCTTGACAACATAGAGGCAAGGTTTGTGGCGCTTCAAGAAGAGATAAAGGACACAAGGGAACTTAAGGGAGATGTGGCGTTTTTGTAAAGAAGCAGTCGTGAAGCAATTCGTGCAAGGGCCGAGGGAAATCAAGGCGTTGGACTCCAAGGTAATCGACTCCTTTAAACCCACATCCTATAATGGGAAGAGGGAAGCAAAGGAGCTCGACACATTCGTGTGGAACGTGGAGCGATACTTCAAGTACCTGAAGCTTGAAGATGACGAGTCCAAAATCTCAACGGCAACCATGTTCTTAGCTGACAATGCCCTTATGTGGTGGCGTCGTCGGAGCATGGAGATTGAGCAAGGTACGTTCTCTCTCACCACTTGGGATGAATTTAAGAAAGATCTTATGTTGCACTTCTATCCCCAAAATGCCAAGTACGAAGCCAAGGAGAAACTAAGGTGGCTCAAGCAAACGGGGAGCGTCAAAGACTATGTCAACGCCTTCGTGAACTTGTTATTCGAGGTGCCCAACATGTTAGAGGAAGACAAGCTCATGTACTTCATGAGTGGACTGCAAAATTGGGCAAAACTCGAACTACAAAGGAGACACGTGCAAACATTGTCTGATGCCATTGCCGCTGCCGAATCCTTGATTGAGTTTAAATCAAGCCACCAAGGTGATTCCAAGTCCACGGGGAAGAGGGGTAACCATGAGAGAAGTGGGGGAGAACATAAGCCGAAGGACAAGGCCGAGACAAGCAAACCGAAGGAGAAGAAAGCCGATAAGCATGACAAAGGCAAGGGTAAGTCTTGGCAACCCACTTGTTACCTATGTGACGGCTCTCACATGATGCGAGATTGCCCACAAAAGAAGGCCCTTAAGGCCATGGCTTTTAAGGAGGACAAGGCCGGGGAGAGTAACGATGCAAGTATGGGATGCATCCGTCTACTGAATGCCATCCAGACAACCCTCCCACAACCTAAGGCTCAAGTTGGGGGAGGATCATTGTTCGTCGACGTCAAGACTGGTGACAAGATGACGCGTGTGTTGGTGGACACGGGAGCAACACACAACTTCATGACGTCGGAGGAAGCCACAAGGCTTGGCCTCCGAGTCACAAAGGAGCCTGGTAGCGTGAAAACGGTAAATTCCGCCGCCACCCCCATTGTTGGAGTTGCGCGTAATGTGCACGTAGACATTGGCACATGGAAGGGAACGATCGACTTCACCGTAGTCAAGATGGACGACTATGGCGTAGTCATTGGGTTAGAGTTCATGGACAAGGTACGAGCCTTTCCCATTCCCTTCTACAATATCTTCTGTATCCTAGCCGACGGGAGACAACCTTGCCTGGTGCCATTAGAAAGGCAAGCCAAGAAGTGTACCCAACACTTGTCGGCAATTCAATTTGCCAAGTCTTGGAAGAAAGGCGAGGCCACATTTCTTGCAACCCTAATGTTGAATGAAGGGGAGGAGAAGTACGGGCCTTTGCCGAAACAAGTGGAAGACGTCCTTGCGGAGTTTGCGGACGTGATGCCTAAGGAACTACCAAAGAAGTTGCCACCAAGGAGAGAGGTCGACCATGCGATTGAGTTGGAGCCTGGTGCTAAGCCTCCCTCCAAATCACCTTATAGGATGTCGCCACCCGAGTTGGAGGAATTGAGGAAGCAACTCAACGAGCTACTTGATGCTGGCTACATCCAACCCTCCAAGTCCCCATATGGTGTACCCGTCTTGTTCCAACGCAAGAAAGAAGGTAGCCTAAGGTTGTGCATCGACTATAGAGCATTGAACAAGATTACCATCAAGAACAAGTACCCACTTCCGTTGATCGCCGACTTATTCGATCAACTTGGTGAAGCAAGGTACTTCACAAAGTTAGATCTTCGATCGGGATACTACCAAGTGAGGATAACCCCTGGAGACGAATCGAAGACGGCGATGGTGACCAGATATGAAGCGTTCGAGTATAAAGTCATGCCATTTGGTCTGACCAATGCCCCTGCAACATTCTGCACATTGATGAACAAGGTATTCCATCCTTATCTTGACAAGTTTGTCGTGGTTTACATTGATGATATCGTTGTCTATAGCAAGACATTGGAGGAGCACGTCAAGCACTTGCGCATAGTGTTCAAGACCCTTCGGGAGCATGAACTCTATGTCAAGAAGGAGAAATGCTCCTTTGCCACAAAAGAAGTAGAATTTCTCGGCCACAAGATAAAGGAGGGGAAACTTATGATGGAAAATGGCAAGATCAAGGCCATTCAAGAGTGGGAACCGCCGACCAAGGTACCAACACTACGATCCTTTCTGGGGCTAGCCAATTACTATCGGAGATTCATAAAAGGGTATTCAGCCATAGCAGCACCCTTGACAGACCTTCTTAAGAAGAACAATGCAATGCATGGGAATGGACGAACCGGTGTCAAGAGGCATTTGAGAGGTTGAAGAAGGCCCTAATGGAGGAGCCTGTACTAAGGTTGCCTGACCTTAGTAAGCCATTCGAGTTGCACACTGATGCTTCCGACTTTGCCATAGAAGGAGTGTTGATGCAAGAGGGACATCCGATAGCCTATGAAAGTCGCAAGCTAAACAATGCCGAGAAGAGGTACACGACCCATGAAAAGGAGATGACCGCCATCGTCCATTGCCTTAGAGTTTAGAGGCATTACTTGCTTGGTACCCCATTCATCATCAAGACGGACAACGTTGCCACTAGCTACTTTCAAACCCAACAAAAGCTCACACCTAAGCAAGCAAGGTGGCAAGAGTTCTTAGCGGAGTTTGATTACAAGCTAGAGTACAAGCAAGGAAAGGAGAACGTGGTGGCCGATGCTCTAAGTAGACGAGTAGAGTTAATGGCTACGGTACTCAAGCCGCAAAGCCATCTCTTGGACCGTGTCCGAGAAGGTTTGTCACATGACGTCCAAGCCAAGAACATTGTGGAGTTTGTCAAAGATGGGAAGACAAGAAGGTTTTGGCTTGAGGACGGCTTGCTATACACCAAGGGCAAGCGGATCTACGTCCCAAAGTGGGGAAGCTTAAGGAAAGAAATCCTTAAGGAGTGCCATGACTCAATGTGGGCAGGACATCCTGGCACTCACCGCACGTTGGCTTTGGTGAGCGATGCTTATTATTGGCCACAAATGCGGGATGATGTAGATTCATACGTGAAGACTTGTCTTGTGTGCCAACAAGACAAAGTGGAACAAAGGCAACCGGGAGAACTGTTGGAACCACTTCCCACCCCATCAAGACCATGGGAGTGTTTGACCATGGATTTCATCACACATTTGCCCAAGTCTGATGGATGTGGATCTATCTTCGTCGTGGTTGATAGATTCACCAAGTATGCCACTTTCATACCCGCACCCGTGGAGTGCACAGCCGAAGTAGCTGCACGCTTGTTTCTAAAGCACGTGGTGAAGTATTGGGGTGTTCCGAGGAGCATAGTCAGCGATCGAGATGCTCACTTCACGGGTAGATTTTGGAAGGAGCTCTTCAAGCTACTTGGCTCAAAGTTAGACTTCTCCACAGCTTTTCATCCCCAAACTGATGGACAAACGGAGCGGGTTAACGCATTGTTGGAGACTTATTTGCGGCACTATGTTAGTGCCAATCAACGAGATTGGGCTAAGTTACTTGATGTTGCCCAATTCTCTTATAACTTGCAACGTTCGGAGTCGACGGGGAAAAGTCCGTTCGAGTTGGCTATAGGGCAACAACCCTTGACCCCGAACACGGTCGTGACTGGCTACACGGGGAATAGTCCAGCCGCTTTCAAAACCGCTAATGAGTGGCAATTAGCCCACGAACTTGCTCGAGCTCATTTGGAGAAGGCTTCAAAGAAGATGAAGAAATGGGCGGATCGCAAGCGAAGGAATGTGGAGTTCCAAACTGGCGACCAAGTCTTTGTGAAGCTTAATGCGTCTCAGCACAAGAGTACTCGTGGCTTGCACAAGAGCTTGTTGCGGAAATATGAGGGACCATTCCCTATCATCAAGAAGGTTGGCAAAGCCGCGTATGTTGTGGAACTCCCACCCCGCCTCAAGTTTCACCCGGTGTTCCATGTGAGCAACTTGAAGCCTTATCATGCAGACAATGAGGAACCAAGTCGAGGTGAGTCTCATCGAGCACCCCCTTTGATGACGGAGGCATTTGACAAAGAAGTGGAGAGCATTGAAGCCAAGCGTGTCGTGGTGCGACCAAGACAACCAAAGCATGTGGAGTACTTTGTCAAATGGAAGGGGCTACCATACTCCGAAGCAACATGGGAGAAGGAGACGTCCTTATGGCAATATAAGGACTTGATTCAGACATTCGAGAGGCAAGAGTCGACGAGGACGTCGACGGCTTAAGTGGGGGAGGATGTCACGGGCCATGTGTTAAAAACAAAGAAAATGCCCAAGACATCATATATCTAAGCCTATGAAGCCATGTCTTCATGGAAGCTTCTGGAACGTCCCGGAGAAATCAAGAACGTGGCGGAGCATTTAAGATAATCTAGGGCATTCCGGAACATTCCACACAAGTGTACATATTTAAGCCTCACCTAGAATAATCTAGATTAGGCAAGTTGTATCTAGAACTATGCTAGATATTTTTGGATGTAAGTAGGGGATTCTAGAACCCTCAATTGAGGAGGTGACTTAGGCCTATAAATAGGAGGTAAGGCCATTTGGCCAAACCATCCAAGAATTGTAAGCAATTGTAAAGTTCTCTTAACTTTCAATACAAAGCTTCCTTTCTCCCATCTTCTAAGTGATCTTAGCATTCTCCAAGCAATCTTAGCTTTCTTTGTGATTCGATCCGGGGAAGCGAGGCTTCGAAGGCTTACTTAGCTTGTTCATCGAGGTATTCAAGTCTAAGTGCCGCACGGGCGGAAGGCTTAAAGAGTCATCCCGTGACACTTGGTTCGACTGATCGCCGGTCTGTCCCTGATACTTGCCTCTCGTGCTTGTTTTTAACAGGACTACCCCTAAATACACAACAACTCGCAACATGGCGCAATCGGAAGTTTTGTTATAGCTAATTGTTGTAAGTTTTGATTGACCCAAAATCCAAGATCTCAATATATAACTGGAAGAGATAACGGATTTGATTTTTGGAGTCTATGACATGCCCAACAATTCATAGGAGTTGTCTTAAAAACATGCCCAACAATTATCCCCTTATCTACGTATTTCTTTGTGCAGATGAAGTTGTTGACAGTATTTCTTGCTAAACCTTATTGTATGAGAAACAGAGTGCTTCCCATTAGGGACTTTGTTAACCAAACAGGAAACTAGCTAGTTATGTCATTCAATTTTCGACAGTGACAGACTCGGTTCTGTTTTTGGCAAAACCTCCTCTTGCTTCAGCATCCAATAACTAAGTTATCCACTTCAATTGATTACTGCGCTTGGTTTCGTTTTCCTTGTTTGAGACTCTATTTTTGTGCTTTTAGTTTCTTTTTCAATTGCAAGGGGCAGCTCAAATAGACAATAAAAATATTTATTCCTGCAATCGAGATTCTGTGTTCAAATACCTCTGTTTTTTCGATTCTTAGAATCCTCCCTTCGGCAATATCGCTTGTATAAAGAAAAAAAGGTAAATTAATAAACAAAAATCTTGTTTCACAAAGGACCTGTAGTTCAAGTAGTTAAGAGTGTTTATTCTTGCACTCGAGGTCCCTTGTTCAATCCCTATTGTCCAATATTGTTGAATTATAAGTCTATAGCTGATTAGTATTAGTGAAAATAAGATGAGTTTAATGTGTGTATTCACTTGAGCATATCTGTCAAGTGTAAAGTTTCAAAATATAAGGCCATGAGTGCCATGTGGAGTGTGATCCATGTAATTAGGTAGATGAGTGACTAAGATTAAAAGTAGAGTTTTGTGTGGTCCTAAAGCTAAGGCCATCAATTAATGTAAAGGAGTGTTAGTGCTCTTTTTTTTCTGAGATATACAAAATATTCCTCTGCAATACTTTTGCAAGAAGGGGACAAGAAAGAAAACTTTCGTTTCAGCTTCTTCCTTCTCTGTTTTTCGTTTTCTGTTCAGTTTTCTTCTCTTTGGATAAAAACTCATTAAAGAAAGTTACTCTAACATGGCCTCAGAGCCTGGTTCGATCATTTGAGATATGGGCGTAAACTGTGAAGCATTTGAGCTACACTTGAGTTCGCTCCGGCTCAAGCGAAGTTGCCGAAACTCCATAGATTCCAATTTCGTTTTGTGTTCGTCTTGTCTAAGCTAAGAGATGGTTGGATCTGGAAGTTCTGAGGTGAGAACTCCGATCTTCTCCGGTGAGAACTACGAGTTCTGGAGGATTAAGATGATGACGATTTTCAAATCTCATGGGTTATGGAGATTGGTTGAAAAAGGGGTTACGATCTTAGAGTCAAAGAAGAAGAAGGCTGAAGGAAGCTCAGAGGGAGAAGAAGACGATGAGAAAATGGTCGCAGCATATATGCAAGATGCAAAGGCTCTAGGTATTATACAAAATGCGGTTTCTGATCAGATTTTTCCTAGGATTGCCAATGGCGACTCAGCTAAGGTGGCATGAGATCTACTATATGGAGAATATCATGGTGGTGATCAGGTTAGATCCGTAAAACTTCAGAATCTTAGAAGAGAATTTGAGTATGCTAGAATGCGAGATGATGAATCCCTATCTAGTTATCTTACAAGATTGAATGATTTAATTAATCAGATGAGAACATTTGGTGAATCCCTTTCTAATGAGAGACTTGTGCAGAAGGTTCTGATTAGTCTAAGTAAACCTTATGATTCCATCTGTTTAGTTATAGAAAACACAAAGTGTCTAGAGTATGTTGAGTTGCAAGAAGTGGTTGCAATTTTGAAGAGTCAAGAGCAACGATTTGACTTGCATAATGTTGATACCACTGAGAAGGCTTTTGCATCATTCTCAGTAAGTCCAAAGGGGCAAAATAGAAGTGGAGTTCAATCTGGCTCATCAAAATTCCAGAAGAATTGGAATGCTAAGGGAAAGAAATGGGATTCGAAATCTCGATTCCAACAGAAACCTTTCACTAGTCCTGCACCAAATCCATATCAGTCACAGTCAATGAGTCAAGAGACTGTCAAACCACAGTGTAGAGTGTGTTCTAAGTATCATTTTGGTGAATGTCGATATAAGGGTAAGCCTAAGTGTTATAATTGTGATAAGTTTGGTCATTGGGCTAGAGAATACACTGTAGGGAAGATTGTGCAAAAGGCAAACTCTGCAAATCAGGTGGAAGTGTCAGGAAATTTGTTTTATGCTAATAGTGCAATCTCGGAAAAAATATCAATGGGAATTGGTATGTTGACAGTGGTTGTAGTAACCACATGACAGGGAATGCTGATCTCCTTGTTGACATAAAGACAAATGTTGCTGGAAAGGTGCAAATGCCTACTGGTGTGTTGGTGAATGTTGCTGGAATGGGTTCATTGCAGATTGACACTAATAGAGAAAAAAAGTATATCAGGGAAGTCATGTATCTGCCAGGTTTAAAAGAGAACTTATTGAGTGTTGGACAAATGGATGAGCATGGATATTATCTAGTGTTTGGAGGAGGCTTGTGCAGCATATATGATGGACCTTCACTTGAAAACCTTATCATCAAGGTTAAGAAGAAGGAAAATCGATGCTATCCTCTTTCTCTGGTGAAAAATAATCAGTTGGTTTTGAAGGCTAGCTTGGAGCATTCTACTCAGTGTTGGCACAGAAGACTAGGCCACTTGAATTTCAGAGGCTTCAGCAACTCAGTGAGAAGAATATGGTGTATGGTCTTCCATATCTAGAAGCAATCAAAGATGTATGTCAAGGGTGTCAGTTTGGAAAACAACATAGAGAATGGTTTCCAAAAGATCAAGCCTGGAGAGCAAACTGTCCCCTGGAACTTATCCATGTTGATTTGTGTGGTCCTATGCAGAATGCATCCTTGGCTGGAAACAAATATTTCATGCTATTTATTGATGATTGTACAAGGATGATTTAGGTGTATTTTCTCAGATACAAATCTGATGCATTCAATTACTTCAAAAAAATTCAAGTCAATGGTGGAGCTGCAGAGTGGCTTCAAAATTAAAAGTCTAAGGAGTGACAGAGGAGGAGAATTTTTATCTTCTGAGTTCACTAAATTCTGTGAAACTGAAGGCATTCAAGGCAACTCACCATGGCTTATACTCCTCAACAAAATGGAGTGGTGGAGAGGAAAAATCGAACTGTGGTTGAAATGGCAAAGACTATGCTTCATGATAGAGGTATGCCATATGTTCTTTGGGCTGAAGCTGTACACACAACTGTATATATTCTAAATAGGTGTCATACAAAGGCACTTGGAAATACAACTCCTTTTGAAGCCTATAGTGGCAGAAAACCAGGTCTTGCACATCTCAAGATTTTTGGTTCCCTGTGCTATGTTCATATACCTACTGAGACAAGACATAAGCTAGATGCTAAGAGTGTTAAAGGTGTATTTGTGGGTTATGCTACATGTGAGAAGGGATACAGAATATTTGATCCATGTACTAACAAGTTAATCTTGTCAAGAGATGTGGTTTTTGATGAATCTATGACCTGGAATTGGAAAGAAAGTTCACAAAGTTCAGCTGCTGCAACTTACATTCAGGATCAACCTGAGAATGTAGTTGGGGTGAATTCATATGAGATGAGTGTGATTGAAGGAAGTTCTCTCATTCCTAGTTCTTCTTCTCATACACAAGAACAAGAAAGTTGCACTCCTGAGTCTGCACAGATTCCAGAGACTTATGATCACTCACCTCTAAAATGGAGGAATTTGAATGATGTTCTTGCTCAATGCAACTCATGCATTCTGGAACCAGAAAGATATGCAGATGCAACTCAAGATAGATCATGGTTAAAGGCAATGGAAGATGAATTAGCTATGATTGAGAAGAATGGCACCTGGAAGCTTGTGGATAGACCAACTGAAAAGCCTGTTATTGGAGTTAAATGGGTCTATAAAACCAAGTTGAATCTTGATGGATCAGTTTTAAAAAACAAAGCTAGACTAGTTGCAAAGGGTTATGCTCAAAAGCCAGGTCTAGACTACAATGAAACATATGCTCCAGTGGCAAGATTGGATACTATCAGGACTCTTGTAGCTTTGGCAGCACACAAGAGCTGGAAATTATATCAACTTGATGTAAAATCAGCGTTTTTGAATGGTGTATTGGAAGAAGAGGTTTATGTAGATCAGCCTGAAGGATATGTAGTCAAGGGAAAGGAAGATAAAGTCTATCAACTGCATAAAGCCTTGTACGGATTAAAGCAGGCTCCAAGGGCTTGGTATGGAGAAATCGATACATACTTCTCACAGTGTGGTTTTGAGAAAAGTTTGAGTGAACCAACACTGTACACCAAAGCAAGGGGCAAGACATTCTGATTGTTTCTATTTACGTGGATGACATAGTTTATATTGGAAGTGATAGACTGATGCTTGATGAATTCAAAGAAGACATGAAGAGAAAATATGAAATGACAGATTTGGGCCTTCTCCATCATTTTCTTGGAATGGGGATAATTCAGACCAATGCTAGCATTTTCATTCATCAGAAAAAATATGCAAGTTCCTTACTAAGCAAGTTTGGTCTGAATGAGTGCAAATATGTGATCACACCACTTGTGGCAACTGAGAAATTAACTAAAGATGATGGAAGTGGAGCAGTAAGTGAAGAGCTGTACAGAAGCATTGTAGGGAGTCTCCTATATCTCACAGCTACTAGGCCTGACATCATGTATGCATCCAGTTTGCTTGCCAGATTTATGCACTGTCCCACTAGCAAGCATTTTGGAACTGCCAAACGTGTGCTCAGATACATCAAAGGGACTCTAGACTATGGTTTGGAGTATGCAAAAGGCAAGGAGGCAATGTTGATTGGCTATTGCGACAGTGACTGGGGTGGATCACCAGATGATAGCAAAAGTACATCTGGATATGCATTTTCGTTTGGAAGTGGAGTCTTTTCTTGGGCTTCAGTTAAGCAAAGTTGCGTGGCATTATCCACTGCAGAAGCAGAGTACATAAGTGCATCAAATGCCACTGCACAGGCAATCTGGCTTAGATTTGTTCTAGAAGATTTTGGGGAACTTCAAACTGAAGCAACTCCAGTGCACTGTGACAACACCTCAGCAATCGCAATCACCAAGAATTCTGTCTTTCATCAGAAGACCAAACATATAGATAGAAGGTATCACTTCATTAAAGATGCACTGCAAGAAGGAATCATTGATTTGATCTATTGTCCCACTGAAGAACAGATGGCAGATATTTTCACAAAACCTTTGGCTAAGGATCGATTCAACTATCTCAGGAATATGCTTGGAGTAAAATCAGCTCAAGACTTAAAGGGGAGTGTTGAATTATAAGTCTATAGCTGATTAGTATTAGTGAAAATAAGATGAGTTTAATGTGTGTATTCACTTGAGCATATCTGTCAAGTGTAAAGTTTCAAAATATAAGGCCATGAGTGCCATGTGGAGTGTGATCCATGTAATTAGGTAGATGAGTGACTAAGATTAAAAGTAGAGTTTTGTGTGGTCCTAAAGCTAAGGCCATCAGTTAATGTAAAGGAGTGTTAGTGCTCTTTTTTTCTGAGATATACAAAATATTCCTCTGCAATACTTTTGCAAGAAGGGGACAAGAAAGAAAACTTTCGTTTCAGCTTCTTCCTTCTCTGTTTTTCGTTTTCTGTTCAGTTTTCTTCTCTTTGGATAAAAACTCATTAAAGAAAGTTACTCTAACAAATATCGTTTAATAAAAACCATTGTTAAATTTTTTCGTTACCTGCCTACTCTACTCATCTCAATGAAACCAATCTGCAGAAAATCAACATACATATGTAAGTGGCATGTGACTCCTCAAGATGATGTCTATGGATATAACTATCTCTTATTAAAACAAACAGGACTTTCAGAGAGCTGGGCTAATCGAGAAATAGTTGGATATGATTAATTAACTTTCCTTCTTTATGATTTAAAACATCAGTGGAGTAGACACATCTTGCTAGTCTTTCAAACCTCGTTTTCTTCGACTGAAATCTCTTTCCTTCCTCTCACTTTCTCAGAGCAGAATCGGAACTCACAAGCTTGGAAAAATTAGACCTCCCAAGAGATCAGGCGGAATCTCATTTATACTACCAACTCTTTCATTTCTTATCTTCAACACCGGCCAAGACCAAAATCCGTTTTTCACCTGGTACTAGGTTAAGCAACAGTAGTCAGTAAATCGGTATGCCATAATGTTTATTCTCGACAAATCTTTTATTTACCAACACACAAGAAATGAACAAAATAAGTCAGTCATATGCAATAAAGTATGTACGTTTCAACAAAGTATAATTACGCGGAACCTTTATCCGATATGTGGACAATTAGGCATCAGTCTCCCCATTTATATCACTCTCATTTTTAGTCCAAAAGCATTGTAGGAAAGCATACTCTAAAAGCAAAGCTAAGAAGAAGCATAACAAAGAATTGATGCGGTTGCGGAGGGATAAAAAAATTGTTTTGCGATTCAAATCATATCTTAAAGAAGAGTAGTAATTTTATTTATTTATTTGTTTTTTTTTTTTTTTTGGTATTTGGAGAACAACATCACTTCAAAGCAAGTGACATTTAATACAAATAATAGAACAAACTTAAATATTTTAACATAAAGTGATTGTAATACAATGTGATTGCATAGGAAACACATGTAGCATGCGGTTTAATAAGCTTGTTTGAACTTATTGATCATAATTTTGTTCACATACACCCACCCCTAATTTAAATTGTATTTTCACTAAGTTTGAGATTATCTTGTTTTTAAAATTGTTTTTGGATCTTAAATGGTGTGCCCAAGGGGCGCACCCTTGTTTTGTCCTCCGGTTCCCTTTCCATTTTCTTTTATTTTTCTGAAAAGTCTCTCTCTATCTTCTCTCTTCTCCCTTACTCTCCCTTATCTCTCCCTCTCGAGCTCACCTCTCTCTCGGGCTCTTTCCCGATCGACACCCATACATGCAAACGTACACACACACACACCCATACACACTTTCATGGATGCACCAAGTCACCATCTCAGCGGAGGACGGAATGAATACCAACCTTCGAAACCGTAAGCTTGGAGAACAACTCCCTCCTCCGATGAACCCTCAACCTTGGTAAGCTTCGGGACTCTCTCTAATCTTCCTTAGATCGATCAAACTCTAGTTAGGACTCATTTTAGGTACTTTGGTGAATGTTTGTAGTGAGAAACAACTCGAGGAGCTTTCCCCAGATTTCCAGCAAGGATTCCGTCACTTTTGAGGAAATTTCTGGCCAAACCACAGCGAGTTGTAGGGGTGCAA